AACATCAATGAGAAGAGAGAACCATTGATTGGTTGCCTCCTGCACGTCCCCCACTGGGGATTGAGCCCACAAGCCAGGTATGTGCCCCTGACTGGAATCGAACCCGGGATCTTTTAGTCCCCAGGTTGACACTCTATCCATTGAGCCAAAACAGGCAGGTCTAGTACTGAAGACTTTAAACTGCAGTGGGGCCCAGTCAGATTTGCAATTTTGAGAAAACAGGCTAGTGTGGAGGCAGTTTTTTGAGGGGTCCATACCTAACGGCTGGATGATCAGTTAAGGAAATGTGATAGTCAGGTGAGCGTCAATAAGGGGTAAAACTAAGTCAATGAACATAAAGATGAAAAGCAAGGGATACACAAAAGATAGAACTGGCAGAACTTGGTTCATCAACAGGTCATGGGAAGTGAAAGAGGGAGCAACTGAAGATGGCTTTCGCTTCTTGGTGTGTAGATGTGGGTGGTGGTGTGACCAAACATTTCTGCAAAAACCAGATGGGTGTGTCCATAGGCAGTTGGATTTTGAAGCTCAAGGGAACTATCTGAACTGGAAAATGATTTGGGAGTCATCAGCATAGATGACTATCCACAGCAGCCAATCAGGTATTTAAAAGCATGAGGTTGGGCCCTGACCAATTTGGCTCAGTGGATAAGAGCGTCAGCCTGTGGACTTAAGGGAGCAGGGTTCAATTCCAGTCAAGGGAACGTACCTTGGTTTCGGGCACACCCCCAGTGGAGAGTGTGCAGGAGGCAGCTGATCGATGTTTCTGACTCTCACCCCTCTCCCTTCCTCTCTTGTAAAAAATCAATAAAATAAAAATAAATAAAAATGAAATCATGAGGTTGGGCAAGTTTCTTGAGGGGAGAATATATAGATGAAGAAGAACCCTGAACAAAGGATAGACTCCTTAGAGGTAGGCTGAGGGAAAGCTGATGAAAGAGAGAGTGAAATAATACCAGTGAGAAATACCAGGAGAATCTGGAGTATTTAATACATGGAAAATTTAACTAAAGGAGGGAGGAATCGGCATTGTCAATGTGCAGCAGAAATGCCATGATGTCATGACAATGGTCATTAGACTTGGTCAGGGGAAGAACATTTGCAGGAGGGTGGTCAGGGGAAGAACATTTGCAGTAACCTTTGGTTCCATGAGGTCACATAATTGTGCTTACCACATGCAATGAACTCTATGTTTATGTTTGGGTTTCTCCCATTCAACAGATGGCTTTGGGAACCTGCCTTGGCAGTCTCAGGCTCCCCAGCTCTTAGTATTATGTATGTGCTACACCTTCCTCTGCTTAGGTTGGTTCCTCCTCTTTGGTTCCATGAGGTCACATTCACACCTTAATCACAGATTGCACAGTGATTAAGGTGTGAATGGGAAGTCAAGAAGTGAAGTCAGTTACTATAGATATCTTGCCTTTTTAAGAACATTCTGTCAATAAAGATGGTGAACCTAGAGCTTAGGTGGCATAGCTCCCAACTCAGATGATCTCAACTATCTTGAGAGAAAAGTACAGCAATGTACCATGTGTGTATTTGTATTGAGTAACTATTAAATAAGTAGATTTAATCAAATATCAGCACCAAACTTTCAGATTTTTATTTGCCTTTATTACTTGTGTGTCATAATATTCCTTTCCTTTGACCAACATTTTTTCTTTAACTTATTTCTGTCCTATCTGTTCAATGCCAGAAAATGTTTAGGTACTGGGATACTTCCCACAGAAATTTTCATGTCTCATTTCAAGCTACTTCCGGCTTTGGTCATTAAAAAAAGCTGATATTTGCACAGTAATCAGAATACCATCAAGAAATGGTGTGTACATTAAATCTAAGTCGTGTTATTTTTATAATGACTAGTATTAGAATAACAAGGTGTAGCCTTGTTCATCTCTGAAGGATTTAATGTTTAGCAAAGGTATAATAGGTGGGAGGCTGGAATTAGAGAAATAAAAGGTTGAACTATGTACCCTGCAGGTACTCCTTAATTAGTTTTTGAATGACTAATCAGGTATTTAATGGACTACAGAACCTGTGTTCAAGACAAGGTGGTAGCCAGAGCAGGCACAGTTGGAGTAAGCTCACACAAAGGTCCAACTTGAAGGATTCTCAGGGAAATGTCAGGGATAGTGATACAGTATGTATAAACTGTATTTTATACCTTCTAAGATCTTCTATAAACCAGAAGGGAAAACTTACAATTATCAAGAAAATAAAGTAAGATCCAGCCACCCCACTTCTGATATATATCCAAAGAAAACGGAAGCATGATCCCAAAGACATATCTGCACTCCCATGTCCATTGCAACATTATTCACGATTGCCAAAGTCTGGCAACAACCTAAATCTGGCAATGGATAAAGAAGCTGTGGCATACATACACAATGGACTATTACTCAAACACGAGAAAGAAGGACATCCTGCTACAACCATTTGCTACAACAATGGGTAGAACTTGAGAGCAGCATGCTAAGTGAAATAAGCCAGACAGAGGAAAACAAATACTACATCATATCACTTATATATGGGCTAATAATTTTTAAAAAGTAGAACTCATTGAAACGGAGAGTAGAAAAGTGGTTTCCAGGGTTGGGATGGGAGAGGGGAGGACGGGGAGAATAGGGAGAGGTTGGTAAAAGGGTACAAACTTTCAGTTATGAAATGAGTAAGGTATAAGGATCTAATGCATAACATGTGATTATAGTTGACACTATAGCTGATAACACTGTAACTGACATTTGGTGAGAGGTGAACTTACATGTTCTCATGGGGTGGGGGAGCTAAATTATGTGGGATAATGTCTGTGTTAATTAACTCTATGGGGGGAATCTTTTCACAATGTCATGTATATTGAATCACCACAATGTACATTTAAATAACTTATAATTTTGTCCATTATATCTCAATAAAGCTAAATAAGAAAGGACAATAAAGTAAAAAAGTGTTTTATATAGTGATTGTTTATAAGTTTTCTGGGAATTTGTTCCAGGGAAGAGTTTCAGTCTTAGGGAATAGCATTTCCATCCTGAGAACAATGACACTTTTCACTCTTCCAAGTTACAGGCTGTTGCATCAGGGTGAAAGCCAGAGCTGATTCATGTTCAGATTGCTTCCTTCTGCATCTTTAGTCTTTTTTCATGCAGTTTCCTCTTTCTGTGTCTCCCACTTTGATGGCCTCACCTTCAGATATTGATGCTGTGGTCACATGAAAAATGTTCATTCATTTTACAAACAAGTGCAAGGAAACTCCCTGTTAAGATCTCTACGTGTCACCGGGCACGTTTGAATCATAATCCCTGTTAAGGCGTTTAAAGAAATTACACCCAGTGGCAGGAACATAAAGTAGAAAACTTCATAAAAGATTACATACTCCGTTCACGGGGTGTACTCCCACATGCAAGAACTGGGCCTTGTACATTGTTACGTCTAATGTCAGGCTCAGCCTGCCATAGAGTTAATTTATTGGCTTACATGCCAGTCTGCTTGACAGTGATGGACAGAGGATGTGATTTTAAATAATGTACCTGAACATTTTATGCCTATTTTTCTCAGCCAGAAAATAGAATACCTATTTTGGGCCTATCATATTCTTTTTAGAAAGAAATATGTTTTACTGATTTTTTACAGAGAAGGGACAGGGATAGAGAGCTAGAAACATCAATGAGAGAGAGACATCAATCAGCTGCCTCCTGCTCACACCTTCCACTGGGGATGTGCCCGCAAGCAACGTACATGCCCTTGACCAGACTCAAACCCGGGACCCTTCAGTCCGCAGGCCAATGCTCTGTCCACTGAGCCAAACCGGTTTCGGCAGGGCCTATCATATTCTAAGCTACTTCATTAAATGACGGCTTTTTTTAAAAAAAAAAAAGACCAAAAAAACCCCCTAAAAAGATAATTTGATATACTTGAACTTTTAATGTGTAAGATATTGGGAAGCTTTCCAGGTTCACCTTAAAAATAACAAAAAGCTGATAGACTAGTCCCCATTCTGAGGATCAAGGGACCTGGCTCTGCGCAGGACCCAGCTCAGTCCTGGCTCACACCCCTCGCCTCCCTGGCCTGTGTCCCCTCACCACCTTCGCTGTCCCCTTTGACTATGGAATGTGGCCAGCACGTATAAAATACACACCAGATTTCAAAGGTTTAAAAAAAAAAAATGCAAAATAGCCCTGGCGGGTTTGGCTCAGTGGATAGAGCGCCAGCCTGCGGACTGAAGGGTCCCCGTTGGATTCCCATCAGGGGCATGTACCTTGGTTTCGGGCACGTCCCCAGTGCGGGGTGTGCAGGAGGCAGCTGATCGATGTTTCTCTCTCATCGATGTTTCTAACTCTCCATCCCTCTCCCTTCCTCTCTGTAAAAACATCAATCAAATACATTTTTTTTAAAATGGAACATATTTTACGAATAATATTGAGTCTATTTTGAAATATTTTGCAAATATTGGGTAACATAAGTCCTTCACACCAATGTCACCTGATCCTTTTTGTCCTTCTGATGTGACTACGAGAAAAACTGAATACATATTCAGCTCCGAGTCTAGATGAGCGCTAACATCCCTTGCAGCTTTGGCAGACAGCTGGGGGCGTGCTTGGGGGGGCTGCCAGGGACTGGAATTTCGGATTTCGCACGATTCTGCGTGGACCCGGCAGGTGGGCCCGGAGCGCGCGGCGGGCGGCGGGCGGCGGGCGGCGGGCGGCGGGCGGCGGGCGGCGGGCGGCGGGCGGCGGGCGGCGGGCGGCGGGCGGCGGGCGGCGGGCGGCGGGCGGCGGGCGGCGGGCGGCGGGGCCCGGCCTCCCCGCTCGCGACGTCAGGGCGGCGGCGGCGGCGGGCGGGTCCGGGAAGCGGCTCCGCCGCCTGCCCCGCGCGCAGCAGGAAACCGGCCGGAGGCCCCGGGCGGCGGCGGCGCGGGCGGCCGGGCACGTCCGCAGGCTCCGGGGAGGTGGCGGCCGCTGAGAGGCCGGGGCGCGAGCGGGCGGGGAGACGCCGGGAGGCGGGGCGCGGGCGGGGCCGGCGGCGCGGCTTCATCTGCGGACGCACGGCCTGCTCCGGGGCTGCTTCCCCAGGGCGCCGGGCGGCGAGCGGCTGGGCCGGCCATGGACCGCCGCTGGGGCTTCCTGATCGGCCTCCTGAGCGCCGCGTGGCTGCTGCTCCGCTCCGGCCACGACGAGCCGCGGCCCCCGGAGACGCCCCCGGAGACCGCGGCGCAGCGGTGCTTCTGCCAGGTGAGGGGCGCGGCCGGCCGACCTCCCCGGGGCGCCCCGGCCGCGTCCCGCGCTGCATCCCGCGCGCCCCGGCGGGGGGAGGTGCCGGGGTGCATCTTTGCATCTGCACCCGCCGGGAAGGAGCCCCCCGGAGCCCCTGCTCCCCCGCCCGGCTGAGCCCTCTGCCGGGTGGGAGGGGACCGCTCTCCCGCGCTCCGGATCGGGCGTGGGGCGGGGTGGGGGGGGTTAGTAGGGGGGTGTGCTTGCCGTATGTTTCCACCCAGTTGACTTGTGCATCTTTGCATCGGTCTTCCCTACGCAGGGAGGGTGTGCACTGCGTGCGAGCACACGCACCGTTTTCTGTTTGCACAGAAGCGCGGTCTTTCTAACGTCCAACTGCACCCGCGGACGCGGTGCCCGCGCGGGGTGCCTCCGCCAGCCTTTCGGGCCCGGCCGGGCTTTCGCAAGGGGCGGGGGAGGGGTGTGGTGTCGGTGATGCTGTCAAACCTCGTTGTCAGGCGGGGAACGGCTTCCTGGGGCTTTTCTGTGACTAAGCCCAGCGCCTGGTTGGTGTCTTTGGGTCGCGGCACCTCTTGGCTCCTTCACCCCTGTGCGTTTTTTTCATTTTCCTTAATGGCATGAGGTTCTCTTACCGTGATAGCCATACAGCAGGTCTGAAGTGGGCTGATATCAAATTTGATATCGAGCACGCTATGATCATTTCCTTGTGTTAGGGATGAACAAAAAATTCAAAGAACTTTCCAGGTTTCTGAATCTCCAAGTTCTGGTATTTTAATGTCATGACTCTTAAAGACACCGTTTAGTTGGCTTCTGTGGACGCAAATGACAAAATTGAGGGTAGGCATCCATATTGTTCCATTTAAGTAGATTTTACTCATCATTTATTGTCAGGAATAACATTTTATGTTTGTAAAGGCAACCGTACGACCTCACAGAGGACGAGAACACTCATGGATCAGGAGAGATCTTTTTCACTGCTTCATATCCGCGGGTTTTGTTTTGTTTTGCTTAGGGATCTGGGTGTTAGATGTTATCTGGCACCTTGTGAGATAAGTTACAAAGAAGCTGCTGCTTTACAACTAAGAGATTGAAAAGCTCCTTTACCTTCAGTGATTGTGAACTGCGGCACACAGTATTTCAATAGGAAAAGGGTCGTTTTTTCTTCCGACCACAGAAATCATGTAACACAAAGTTTAAACATTTAAAAATAAGTAATGTAGAAATCAGGCCTGTGGTGTTGAAAGAAGATGCCCCAAATCACATTTTCATCTGCGTTCTAGAAATTGGATAATGGAGTAAAATTTCATGTTGAGCTTTTCATTTTTAACCTTCCCCCTCCCCCAATAACCTTTTCACATATCTAAAATTGGGGAGCTTTTAAATTTTAACATTTATTGATTGATGGATTTGAGAGAGAGATTTGTTGTTCCACATATGCATTCTTTGGTTAATTCTTGTATGTGCCCTGACCAGGGAGGGGCTCAAGTCCACAACCTTGGCACATCAGGATGATGCTTCTTCCTTTCCCCAACCCCCCTCAAATTTATAAAAAATAAAAATAACAAAGAGCTACAAAAAAGGAGTTGTTCCAATCTACTCTACCAACAAATGAATACTTAATGTTCTTTTTTATGGTCACAGAACAATAAAATTAATGAAGCTAAAGTTATTTGCCAAATAAAGTATTTTGAGCACTTTTAGAAAGTATTTCAGATTTATATGAGGTTGAGGAATATATTCTTACAGTGCTTTAGGGAAAAAAATGATGTCTGTGGCAGGACTGGAAGTTGGTAGTACACAAGGAAATTATTTAGAAAGTATTTTTTTGTTTTGTCTTTCATTGAAAACAGAAGTTTACCTCTCACCAGAGAACAGTGAACAAGCAGGCCAGTGTTATTTATTTTCTTTTGCCTTTTATACAGTATTTGGTATTCAGTTGAAACCAGTCAGAATCAATGGAGAAAGCAATTGAGGCTCCTTCCTCCATGCCTGACTTCTGGTTGTCTAGTTCTGAGTTCTATTGGGGCTACAGATGTAAGGTTTTTGGAAATTTTTACTTTAAGATTTATTGAAAACTTGGCCTCCCCCACCTCCCATTAAAAACCTGCTGTAGGCTGCTTTGGGGAATAAGAGGCATTTCACTGGAAGTATTTTAACAGTGGTAAAGTAATAATAGTGATTTACATTTTACTTTGTCATTTTATTTTATGTTTTTATTGATTTTAGAGATAAATAAAGGGAGAGGAAGAGAGAAATACATAGACTGGTTGCTTCCTGCATGTCCCCTACCAGGGATCCAGCCTGCAACACGGGCATGTGCCCCAACCAGGGAATCAAACCGGGACCTCCTGGTTCATGGGTCAGCACTTAACCACTGAGCCACACCAGCCAGGCTAAATTTTTAATTCGCAGAAAAATCATGAAGATAGTACAGAGTTTCCATAGACTCCATACCTAATTTCCTCTATGATTAACATCTTACATTAGTATGTTACATACCTTACAATTAATGAACCAGTATTAACACAGTATTCCTAACTAAAGTCCATATTTTATTCAGATTTTCTTGGTTTCCCCCTAATGTCATTTTATTTTGATATCAACATTTTGAGATAGGAACTGTTACTATTTTGTATTCAGATAGGAAACTGAGGCCTAGAGAGGTTTAAAAAATGCAGGTAAAGAAACAACAGATAAATAGTAGAGACGAGATTCAACCCTGGCTCAGAGCCCGTATGCTCACCTTTGTTATCCGCTGCCTCCTCCTGGAAGGCATGTAGGAGGGGATTGCTGTGTTGCTTGGGAGGTTGCAACAGAAGCCTTCCAAGGCTTTCCAGTTCTTAGGAAACTAGGACTTTAATCTGGGTGATGTTATTTCAGGCCTACATTGGTTCTCAGGCCTACCATTCCTCAGCAAGGGCCTTTTAATGGCCACTTATTAATTTGGGCCCCTGCCCATGGCTGAATACCATCTGAAGTTTCACATTTAGCATGCATCAATCATGTTGTGTGTTGTGTGTGTGTGTGTGTGTGTGTGTGTGCATTTTTGAAAAACTCAGATGTCTGTGACATGGCCAGGTTTCTGTTGCACTTTTGGGAACAGGAGTAGTAGTTATTTAAGCAGGCTGAGTACATTCTGAGTACAACATCACGTCATCCTTATTATGTGTCCGCACCTGTCTTTTGGTTTTCCTTTAGGTAATAGGACTTTGCTTTGTTTCCAAGATTCAGCTCTGGGTCTGTTGACTGGATTTCTACCGTAGTCTTCCTTGGGACTCTATTTTGGTACCATGACTGGTTCTCTAGTTGCTAGAACCGGGTGTGGTGTTTTTCCTGCCAGACTTCCCGCCAGGTTTCAGGTTCTGCTACCTGTTGGCAGGCTTATCCTAATGGTCAGATGACTTAGATCCCCAAATTCCTTCCTGCCTCTTCTTTGCTGAGCTCTGTCTATCGAGTGGTCCCCGTCCTGCCTCCTTAGCTGCCCTGCTACCTCTTGTTGTAGTTGGGGAAACCTCCGAGTCCATTTGTAAGGTGAGACGATTTAAAAATGTACCATTTAAGCCCAACCCGGTTTGGCTCAGTGGACAGAGCGTCAGCCTGCGGACTGAAAGGTCCCGGGTTCGATTCCGGTCGAGGGCACGTACCTTGGTTGCGGGCACATCCCCAGTGGGGGGTGTGCAAGAGGCAGCTGGTCAATGTATCTCTCTCACCGATGTTTCTAACTCTCTATCCCTCTCAATTCCTCTCTGTGTAAAATCAATAAAATATATTTAAGAAAAATAAAAATGTACCATTTAAAATGTGGCAGGTATAGTGCCCCGCCTCCTCTCCTTTTGAGGCCTCTGGGCGATATGCCACCTTTGCCCGGGATGCATCTTGCATTCCTTTCTGGCTTGGGGCTTCTTATAGCTTCCTTTGTAATGAGGATGTGGATCAGTAGAACGTTGGATGCAAAGGGTTGTTATCTTTGCAGTTTGCTCCCCTTGCTCTGTGAGGGCACGCCTGCCACTTGAGCCGGTGTGGTCAGGGTCACCATAGGTGACGCGGCAGTACAGAGGTCTGGCTAGGCAGTGCGTGCTCGTCTGCAGTGAGAGTGACCGTGCACAGCAGTTCTCCATTCACTCACCCGCCCATTCCACAAATGGTTATTGATCATCTACTGCGTGCATTCTAGAAGTTCAGCAGTACTAAGTTCATACAAAGAGGAACAAACATGATTTCACTCTCAGGGATTTTGAACTGTAGTGGGTGGGAGTGAAATAGACAAATTCAACACAGTGAAGTGATGATCGTATAGAAGAGGACGTGGACTGTCGTGGGAGCACATGGGAGGGTCGGTTAACACAACAAGGGGTGAGTGGTACCCCAGGGGCAGCTCCCAAAAGAGGCGATGCTGAGGCTTGAGTGTTGAAGACAGACTCTGTCTTAAAAAGGAGTTCCTCAGGAGGAAACAGGGATTGTTTCAAACTCTTTCTGTCAAGTATTTTATGTGTTGGTTTCTCTTTGTGATTTAATGTCTCTATCCGGCATCTGTCCCTTTGGCCTTTGTAGTCTTCGTGCCAGTTATTCTTTGTATAATATTTTGTATCCTGCCCCGACCTTCACGGCGAGTTCAGGATGATGTGCAGGAGGGCTGATGACACAATGAGTACACGATACAAGAAATGTGAATTTCGAAGGCATTGGGGGGCCAGGTGGAAACCTCTCTTATGAAGAGGCTCACGAAGTCTGAAGTCCAGATCCTGTCCCCTTCATTCACATTGAATACACATTTTCCCTTTAGCAATGCACACAGGCAGGTCAAAGGTAAAGTTTGGTAAGCAATGTAAGGATTATCAGGTCAGGAAATCACCTGGAGCCATTGCAATCATAGCAGGAGCAATCTTGTGTTTATTCCAGCTGGAATCAACGTCCATTGACCTTCCTACGTCTCTTTTGCACTTTTATGCAAATGCTTGTTATGCTTTGGCCTCCAGCATATCCAACGGGAGGAACAGTACCTATTTCATGCCCTTTAGAAGTTCTGCTTTTAAGAATCAAAAGGTGTGAAAAATCAAATCACCCAGGTGCAGCACTTTGGTTTTGTTGATACCCAGAATTAGGACTCTGAGGTTTTTGTATACCAAGAGAGCATTTAGGGCATATTTGCATATGAATTGAAAATAGTTATTACAATGACAAATATGTAGATCAGATTTCTAGAAACTGAATTTTAGTCTAAAATAAATAAGACTAGGCAAGGTAAAAAAAAACTTAACTCTTGAATATTGCTGTCAAGAGGTGAAAAATTTTCATTCAAATTCATAACTTCTCTTAGTAATCTATGGCGTTTATAGCATGACTGGATACCATGGTACATTCATCAATAATGAGAAGTTGGGCCTTCTTAATGGTTTTAGAAACTTCACTCTTTATTTGAGTCTAGAAATTGAAGTTTCACTTAATGGAATTGGTAATTTATATTGGGAATGAGAGGTTCTTCCACCGAGAAGTAAATTTGCAGCAATCCCTGTAGATGCTGTGTGTAAAACAGTACCACCACAACCTCTGCTATAATGTATTAAAACGTTATAAAGATATGTTTTTTCACTACCACCAGGACCATCCAAGAAAAAGCATTTGGGGGTGTACAGTTTGATCTTTGATGGCTGAAGTTATAGTCTGAAAGGCTGCCAACTGTTCATTGTTCAGGGAATTGATCAAAACCTCTGCCTGTTGTAGCTCGTACAATTCATCACATGTGTTTGTATTCGTTAATAAAGGAGAGTCCGGAAGTTTGAAATCCGAACATTTCATTCCACGCAATATGAATACTTCTTGAATTTCGCTAAGGCCATGCATTTCACAGTTCACACAGGCACCTTCTCTTTGGTGTACTTTCCAACAAAAATCTTCAATAAAATGAGATTTATTCTCATCTCATAATTTGTATCAGAAGGACATCCAAATGCGCATACATATGCAAAAAAATTGCCTTACTTGTTTGGGCATATTAAGGATGACCACATCATCAGTCGTATCTTTCCAGATAGTGTCCTCAATTAATAATCCCCGATATTTAGCAGCTTCACGAAAAGTATCATAAATTATACCTCCTACAGTTCGCAGATCAGCAAACCTTACCTCACTGTTTACATGCAGAAGTAAAAGTTTAAGGTAATAAATATCATTCTGGTTCTCTAAGCTCACAGTGAATGCCTGCCCTTTTAGCATTTTCTCCACGAAGAATTATTAAACACATAATTTTGTGGAATCTCCCATTACTAATAATTATGCATGTCAAAATCTTATTGGTGCCAATGAGAGCTTTATATGTATTGCACATGTGCGAGTCAAAGTTTATTTTTAAATTACCAGTGCGCGTCATATGTACCGGCCATTTGGTTGATCAGATGGTCAGACAGATGGACGGTAGGTCACTTAGCCTTTTCCTATATAATAAAAATGTAGTGTGCAAATTGTCCCCTTGACCAGGAGTTCATCTGAGAGTTTGACCCGGGGATGGGGCTGGCGGGGGGAAGGGAGGGAGCACTCGGCCAGCAGCTGGCAACCACTAGAGACTCTACCAGTGCACAAATTTTGCATGCTGGGCTTCTAGTATATATATAAGATTATTGTTTGTCTCACAAGTTCATTATCATTTCACCCATCTTGTCTCTAAACTACACATCCTGTGGGAAACTAGCATAAGGGAAAGAGAGAAAACAGAATTATAAGGACATAGAGTCCCAGAAAAGCCACGGGTGCCAGAGCAGCTGGGCTTCAGGAAAGACGGCAGAAGTGGGGGAATCCCACGGAGTCCAGGGAGCATATGTTTTCTATCTCCTCTCTCTGGTTCTTTGTGCATGTTCTAAAATCTTCCCTTTCCCTGCTAATTGGTCACGTGCTCTTCAGTTCACATGATGGAATATGGTCTGAGTTACCTGCTTACTGTCTCTAGGGAGAGACATCATGGTCTCAGTTCCTGGAGAAGGGACAGTGATCTGGTTTGGGTCAGATATGCCTTTTGATCTATCTTTGTGTCACCCACCCCTAGCCAGGCCTGGCGGGCAGGGCTACTGGGTGGCTGCAGGAGACCAAACATTTGGGGGTAGGTGTGTCGTTATCGTTAGGTCCATGCTGACAGGAGGCAGGCCATTCACTTTGTGAGAGTGTAAGACATTTTATTGCATTCTCTCACGGCGGGCTGAGACCAGGGTGTTGGTGTCAGCCCCCAGGGGGTGTGAGGTTCTCTTATATAGGGTAGACATATGCAACAGAGGGTCAGGATGTGGGTGCATGAGTTTGTCAAGGGGAGGGGAAGGCGCAAGTGGGTCGAGGGAGGCAAGGGAGGAGAGTGCACAGGTCGGTCAGGCGGAGAGGACTTCTTATCTTGCTTCTGCAGGCACCTACTGGCCTGCCCCACGCTATGGGCAAAGGCTTATGACAATAAGGAGGGATTAGGGGTAGTTCATCCTAACAGTTATGAGCTCAGTACACCCTACAAAAAGTATCCACAGTATCCCTCTAGGTTAGGGGTGTCGAACTCAATCAGAGAAGGGGCCAAAATCTAAAATCCAGCCTAAATCGCGGGCCGAATGGTTTACTGAACAGTCATAAACTGTCATTGTGATGGAAACGCAGCGGAGTGCAGTGATGACAGCGCGGTGCGGGCCACATTACAAGGCCTGGCGGGATGGATTTGGCCCGCGGGCCTTGTGTTTGACACATGTGCTCTAGGTCCATAGTAAGAGCAGTAGCCTTACTAGATTATTGTTCTATCCTATCTCAGAAAATTACGGGGAGGAGGGAGGATAAAGGTTGGTTGAGTAGAGCACTTTCATCCTAACGAGGTGAGGAAAAGAACTCTGTTGCCTCTAAGACATTTTGGTTTAATATTTCATTTTCTTTGTAACAGGTCAGCGGTTACTTGGATGATTGTACCTGTGATGTTGAAACCATTGATAAATTTAATAACTACAGGCTTTTCCCAAGACTACAAAAACTTCTTGAAAGTGACTACTTTAGATATTACAAGGTATTTTAATTTTTAATTTTGTATAAGCATACTTAAAGTTTTAATAGATAATTGCATTTTCTTAGGTAATGGTAGGCTTCAAAATTGTGGCTAGTGCCTGAAATTGATTGAGGACATATTAGGAAAATTCAGTTTACAAGAGTGAACAACATGATTCTGAGACTACCCATAGTATACATTTAATTCCAATAACTCAGTTTTACACGAGTTGGAAACTAGTAGGATAAACTGAAGTAAAAAAAGAAACTATTATGTGTATTGTAATAAAAATCGTGAGTTCATAATTTTCTAAAACATCAGGTTTATTCCAATTACTTAATATAAGTAAATTAAATATCTCTGAGAAGCATAGCTATATTTTAACCTGAAGTCACTCGTCATATTTTATCCTGAGATATCTACTGGAAGAGTTTAGAAAACCTGATCATTGGATTATGTAGCTATAGTCTAAGTTGACAGTTGTCTAATGATTCTGCCATGTTAACTGCTACTTGCTTTAACAGAATGTGAATTGAGTAGCGGTGATCTGAGCTACTTTGGCTCCTGGTTGCCATCTGCTCAGGGTTTGTTTAGTCACAGTCCATATCTTTCTAAGTCTACCAATTTACTTACAACAGCTACATATTTATGTCCACATTGGAACTTGACACCTGCTCAGTGAAAGAAACAGAGTAATTGCAGCCAATAACACAATCAGGTTATAGCACCACAACTCAACATGTGTTAATTCTAAACTTTTTCTGTTTTTAGAGGTTGTTTTTTTTTTAAATGTTTTCTATTGTTATTTTACAAGGTAAACCTGAAGAGGCCCTGTCCTTTCTGGAAAGATATCAGCCAGTGTGGAAGAAGAGACTGTGCCGTGAAGCCTTGTGAATCTGTAAGAACCGTGTCTGTATTTTAGAACTGTTATCATCCTTTTTCAAATAATTACAGCTATTTAAAAGGGGACAATATAACTAAAATGATATTTTAATCCTTAGGCTAAATATAATGTGTGATATGTACATATTTAAAAACCTAAACGTACAAACATAAAACACTTTGAATTATACTGCTGTTATAATAATAGAATTAAAATTTTGTAGTTAATGTAATCCTTTTACTTATTAGTGAGATGAATACAAACGGTCCCCAGTTTAATCGGTGGTTCAGCCTATGGCTTTCTGACTTTAGGGTGGTGTGAAAGCTGATTCAGCAGGAGCTGTGATTTGAGTTTTGACCTTTTGCTAGGCTGCTTTCTTTGGTATGACAGTCTCTCGTGATGCTGGGCAGGGGCAGAAAGATGCTTTTGCCCAATCATAGGCGAATGTACGTGTTCTGCGCACATTGAAGGTAGGCCAGGCTCAGCTATGAGGTTACGTGAATGAAATTCATCAGACTTACTGTGTTTTCAGCTTACGATGGGTTTATTGGGGCATAACTCATTATAAGTCAAGGAGCATCTGTAGTTTTTTTGGCTTGATATTTGTTTTTCTTCTTATGTCTTTCCTGAACAAAGTTATGTTTGTGGTATAATAAAATGAAATCAATCAAGGTATAAACTAAATCCCTCTCCTTTTTTGCGGGTGTATTCTTTTCCTTGCGTTTCCTTGGTTAGGCAGGAGTTGGAGAAAATACCTGGTTTTATGTAGGATTTCTCAGAGCATGATCGTTTGCAGTGTTCTACTCTGAAAGCAGAGAATTTTATGCTTTTCAATGAAGCTCTTTTTTTTTCCTTTAAAAGTATAAATTTTTGTCCAACCAGTGTGGCTCATCGGTTGAGTGTCAATCTATGAAACAGAAAATCACGGTTTGATTCCCGGTCAGGGCATGTGCCTGGATTGTGGGCTCCATTCCCAGTGTGGGGTGTGCAGGAGGCAGCCGATCAATGATTCTCTCTCATCATTGAGGTTTCTATCGCTCACTCCCTTCTTCTCTCTGAAATCAATCAGAACATATTTTAAAAAGGAATAAAAGTTTATATTTTTACTTTTTCATCATGTATAATAGGATACACATAAACATAATTTTACTATTTTAATCATTTTTAAGTGTAGAGTTCAGTGGTCAGCAAACTCATTAGTCAACAGAGTGGCAAACCTGGCTCGCCAGCTGCATGTGGCTTGTGAGCCGCGGTTTGCCAACCACTGGTATAGTTCATTGACATTAAGTACTACATTGTTGTGCAGCCATCACCATCTCCCAACCCCAGAGCTTTTTCATCTTCCCAAACTAAAATGCCATACTCATTAAACAATACTCTCTATGCCCCGACCCCTCTAGCCCCCAGCAATCACTATTCCACTTTCTTTCTCTATGAATTTGACTATTCTAGGTCCCTTGTATAAATGGAATCATGACAATATTTGTACTTTTGTGTCTGGTTCATTTCACTTAGCATATGTTTTCTTTTCTTTTTTTTTTTAAATGTAGGGAGCCTTTATTAGCTGGCTGGTGACTGCTCTTCCTTTCTCCACGCAGGGAGTCCAGAGAGCAGCCCAAAACCTTTGTGCAGGACTGCTTTTATTTATTTATTTATTTATTTATTCAATTTGTTCTTTCTTTCTTTCTTTCTTTCTTTCTTTCTTTCTTTTTTTTTAAATCAATCTTTATTGTTCATATTATTACAAAGGTTCCTCATTTCTTCCCCACTCCACCAGGTTCCCACCCCACCCTTTGCCCCCTCCCCATCCCCCGTTGTCCTCATCCATAGGTGCACAGTTTATGTTCAGTCTCTTCCTCCCTCCCTTTCCCCGATAGTAAATCTTTTTTCAGATAGTAAATCAGTTACTTAGCATTTTCTCATATCAATAATACCTCCACATGCCCAATGATACACTTCACACAAAAGACATTTCCAAATAGGTCAACCATCCTCATCCAGGCCCCACCCAAGGCACTCACAGATCAACACCCCAGCCCTATACTAACTCAACACATCCAGATCTAAGCCTTCATCACTTGATTCAGCAGACCCTCAAGTTCCCACAGAAGTTTCCAGCCATGTCTGAGAGGCAGCCGTGGGGCAGGGGCAGGCGAGGAGCGAGCTGTTCCAGGCCTGGCTGCTTCGGGCCTGGCCTCTGTTGCTCTGGTTCGTTCCACAACCAGCTGCTCCGGGTCTGGTCACTGCCGCTCCCGACCTAGTTGCTCTGGACTTGGCAGCTGCTGCTCCAGGCCTGGTTGCACCCGACCCGGCTGCTCCGGGCCTGGCCGCTCCCAGCCTGGCAGCCCTGCTCTGGGCCTGGCCGCTCCCAGTCTAGCAGCTGCTGCTCCGGGCCTGGCCGCACCCGACCCGGCTGCTCCGGGCCTGGCCGCTCCCAGCCTGGCAGCCGTTGCTCCGGGCCTGGTAGCATATGTTTTCAAGGTTTATCTGCATTGCAGCATATGTTTTATTCACTTTTTTTGTTTTGTTTTTTGTTAATCCTCACTGAGGATATTTTTCCCATTGCTTTTTTTTTTTTTAAAGAGTGTTTAGCCAAAACTGGTTTGTCTCAGTGCATAGAGCGTTGGCCTGTGGACTGAAAGGTCCCAGGTTCGATTCTGGTCAAGGACATATACCTTAGTTGCAGGCATATTCCTAATAGGAGCTGTGCAGGAGGCAGCTGATCGATGTTTCTCTCTCATCGATGTTTCTAACTCTCTATTTCTCTCTCTTCCTCTCTGTAAAAAATCAATACAATATATATTTTTTAAAAATCCTGAAAAAAAAAGAGAGTGTTTATGGGGTGGGGGTGGGAGGGAAAGGAGAGAGAGAGAGAGAGAGAGAGAGAGAGAGAGAGAGAGAGAGAGAGAGAGAGAGAGAGGTGACAGAGACATGACTATTGACAGATTGTTTCCCACACATACCCAGACTGAGAATTGAACCCATGACCTTTCAGTGTGCAGGCCGATGCTGTAACCATTTAGCAACACCAGCCAGGGTAGATTTTATTCCTTTTTAAGTATGAATTGGATTCCCCTGTGTATGTATATGACATTTTGTTTACCCATTCACCTGTTGATCGACTTTTGGATTGTTTTTACCTTTTATTTTTTATTTTATTTTATTTTTTAAAAATATATTTTATTGATTTTTCACAGAGAGGAAGAGAGAGGGATAGAGAGTTAGAAACATCAGTGAGAGAGAATCATTTGTCAGCTGCCTCTTGCACAACCCCTACTGGGGATGTGCCTGCAACCAAGGTACATGCCCTTGACCAGAATCGAACCTGGGACCTTTCAGTCTGCAGACCGACGCTCTATCCACTGAGCCAAACTGGTCCCGGCTGTTTCTACCTTTTAGTTAGTGTGAATAATACTGCTATGGGTGTGGGTGTACAAATGTCTGCTTTAGTCTCTATTGCTGGATCATTTAGTATTGCTGGATCTGTGCTTCATATTTTGAAGCGCACCATGCTGTCTTCCACTGTGGCTGTACCATTTTACATTCCCACCAGCAATGCACAGGGGTTTCAGTTTCTCCACATCCTCCCTAACACATGCTTTTTCCTGTTTTTTTGTTTTTATAATAGCCATCCTAGTGGGTGTGAGGTACTAGTATAGTTTTTAAAAAAATATATATTTTTATTGATTTCAGAGAGGAAGGGAGAAAAAGAGAGAGACAGAAACAGCAATGATGAGGGAGAATCATTGAACGGCTGCTTCCTGCACGCCTCCTACTGGGGGTAAGGCCGCAACCCAGGCATGTGCTCTTAAAAAAAAAAAAAAAAAAATATATATATATATATATATATATGGCTGAAACCAGTTTGGCTCAGTGGTAGAGTGTCGGTCTGCGGACTGAAAGGTCCCAGGTTCGATTCTGGTCAAGGGCATGTACATTGGTTGCGGGCACTTTCCCTGTAGGGAGTGTGCAAAAGGCAGCTGGTTGATGTTTCTCTCTCATTGACATTTCTAGCTCTCTATCTCTCTCCCTTCCTCTCTGTAAAAAAATTCAATAAAATATATTAAAAAAAGAGTGACTACTATAAATAACATTAAAAAAAATATATATATTATTGATTTTTTACAGAGAGGAAGAGAGAGGGATAGAGAATTAGAAACATCGACGAGAGAGAATCATCGATCAGCTGCCTCTTGCACACCGCCCACAAGCAATTAGTTTTACAATTATTACAAATTTGATCTCATCTTGAACTAGCAATTATTTCTGATTATTGTTAATGAAGGATTGAGCTAGAGGACGCCACCTTAAGAAAACCAGAAGGGGCAGGAAACCTGAGAAATACTTAGAATTAGCTAATAGCTTATCGGTTCCCAGATTGACTGACTGAGGATGGGATCTATTTTACTGTAAAATCTAGAGACAACAACCAATTTTAGCATTTAAGAAATGCTAAAAGATAGTGTTTATTACTTGACTTGAACACATAGAAATGTTAAGAAAGCATCAGGGAAAGTTAGCAATTTGTACTGAGAAATTGAGACAGAATCTAGTTATTTCACCTTTTGCAGAATGGGACAGAATGCCTTTCATGCCAGTAGTCTGTTTTTTTTCCCCCCTTGAACTTGTTTCATAATGCAGTCAGCTTTTACATAATTAGATGGTGTTTATCCACCCAAAGATATTATCCTATCTAATAAAAGGTTAATATGCAATTTGTCTCTTTGGGAGTTCAACTGACCCGGAGTTTGACTGCTTGCTATGATGTCCACTTACCACCAGGGGGCGGTGTGGAATGAAAGAAGGTCCCAGCCAGCAGCTGGCAGCTGGCAGCTGGGAGAAGGAAGGCCCTGATCACCAGTCATGGCTAGGGACCCTACCTGTGCAAGAAAGATAACTGGCAGTGTTGTGGGGAGTGGGGAGGAAGATGAGAAAGGAGATGGAGAAAAAACTGGTAAAGGAATATCGCTTAGCAATTGAATGTAATTTGGTTCAATAGTGAAATATTCTTTGAGGGTCTACTCTGTGCCACAACCTGGACATATAAGATGAGCTTTTACCACGAGGAGCTCTGGTTTAGCAGGGGAGACGAACACTAAGTGACAGTTGCAATGCAAATGTATAGCCCAATAGCAGACGTACTGAACATGTACACACCGTGGGAGTACACACCGTGGGAGTACACACCGTGGGAGCAGAGGGGAAGGCAGAGCACAGGGGGAGCCGTGGGAAACCCCGCTGTGAGTGGCAGTGAGGGGATGAGCCATTCACATTCCCCCGAGGATAAGCTGGGCTCAGTTCCAATGGTTCCTAAGGTAGAGCAGTCTGTCAGAACCAAAGAGTGATTAGAGATCATTTCGAATACTTTGAAACACTTGCTTCAGGCTGAATAATCAGCTTTCACAGCTAGAATTTATATGGCACATGACTGATATTTTGATATCTATTCTTCTTCAGTCTGCATCTTTAAAATAAGAACGTTACATTATGAGCACAATGTAGTGATCGCACCTAAAACATTGAGCAATTCTTTCTTAACCTAATACACAAGGTTAAATACAGTTAACTCACCCCTTCACATGGTCTGTTGCTGTTTTGTTAACACCTTTTTGGGCTAAACAGGGAACCAACACCAGTTTCCTTTTTCAGTTCATTTTTAGACTAGGTTTAGGTTACATTCTGGAACCCAGGAGGTGATAGAAAAATAATAAAAGTTGAAATTCTCTCCTCAAACATGGTCTTTAAAATGCATCCCCTCTGATTCACATTCCTGATTCCAGAGAATATTTGAATGTGGCTGGTGGTCTCCCCATCGAGGCTAGACCTTCTCTGTGAGCTGAAACATTGGTTGTTTCCTTTACAGTGAATCAAAACAATGTTCTTTCTCCTCTGTTATTAAGTGGCCCAGGAGAAAAAAGTGTAATGACAGCCAGTGTTGAGAAATAAGCACTCCGGTGGTGAAGTCTTTTCGAGATCAATTTGGCAAATGTATCAAAAACATTAAAAAGGTACATATCCGGGACCTTGCAATTCCACTAGGAATTTCACTGACTAAAATAAGCAAATGTTCAAAGATGATTGTAAAGCAGTACTGAATTTTGTAGAGATGTCAATTCTGCTGAAATTGGTCTATAAATTTGGCATGGTTTATGGTATGAAAAAATTAGAAACCATCTAAATACCTGGCATACAAGAAGATCACACGTTGACCTAGTTCGGAGGCTGAGGGTACATGATAAAGTGCATGTTTCTGTGCGGGTCCTTTCCTTTGAGCTTACCCTAATTCAGGGATATACTTAGCATTGGGCCTGCAATTTTCAGAGTTCTCCACAAACCTCATTATCTGCACTCACAGCATCACTTTGATGATAGGCAGGAAGGTCCTGTAGTTAGTAAGTGGCCAATGCTTGACCAAAAACTGGTTCTATTTTGCTCTGAAAAGAATGAAGCCTTCTTAAACACACACACACACACACACACACACACACACACACACACCACGAGCAATTCCAAGACTGGAACAAGAAATATACAAAATGAACTTGGAGCATCTTGTCATAACAGAAAAAAAAAATGCTGTTAAAGATTACTGGAGTAGAAGGGGTGGGTGGGGAGAGATTAACCAGGGAATTTATATGCATATATGTATAGCCCATGGACACACACAATAGTGTGGTGAAGATCTGGGAGGGGCCAGTGCGGGGTGGAGAGGGTCAATGAGGTAGGGTGGGTGGGGGGAGAGGCCATCTGTAGTACTTTCAACAATAAAGATAAATAAAAAAAAAAAGATAACTGGGGTAATATCAAAAGACACAGGTGCAAATATCAAGTAGGCATTAGCGGATCCCTTGTGGCCAAATGTGGACAATTTGAGCATCAAATGGAATAATAACTGACTATTTTTACATTTCCATGCTGAAATATATATCAGCAATCCATAGGATAATTTGTTGTTGAATTTTTATTTACTTATAGGAAATCATGTTATAACTGCCTAACTGTTCTCAGTTAAAAAAATGTTAACTTCAATAATTTGTTTTATGCCGAAACTGGTTTGGCTCAATGGTAGAGTGTTGGTCTGTGGACTGAGAGGTCCCAGGTTCGATTCCGGTCAAGGGCATGTACATTGGTTGCGGGCACATCCCTGGTAAGGGGTGTGTAAGAGGCAGCTGGTCGATGTTTCTTTCTCATCAACATTTCTATCTCTCTATCTCTCTCCCTTCCTCTCTGTAAAAATCAATAAAATATATTTTAAAAAATAATAATTTGTTTCATGATTTTTTCTCATAAATCATAGAAATTTAAAATATGTTTTCAGTAGGATAAATGTCATCTAAAAGTATTTTTTATTTTATTTTTCAGGATGAAGTTCCTGATGGAATTAAATCTGCAAGCTACAAGGTATGTATATATTTATTAATATGTCTAGCATCTTAACAAAGACTCATTTCCCCTACCAGCTGCTACCCCACTCCTCTGCTCCCCTTCACAGCGAAACCCCTTGAGACTTATTTGTACTCAATGACTCTAGTTCTTTTGTTCAACCCTTTCTTATGCAAAGCATGAAAGAAAAATTAGCTGAAACAGATTTGGCTCAGTGGGTCCCAGGTTCGATTCCGGTCCAGGGCATGTACGTTGGTTGCGGGCACATCCCCAGTGGGGTGTGTGCAAGAGGCAGCTGGTTGGTTTCTAGCTCTCTATCTCTCTCCCTTCCTCTCTGTAAAAAATCAATAAAAATATATTTAAAAAAAAGATAGAAGTGGTAATTGTCAAAATATATAGGTTTTTGCATTTATATGTGCACACTAATAAGGACCACAACATTTTTGAGATGAAGCTGATGCTGAAGAAAACAGTGTGGCATAGGAGTTCTCTGCTGTCCACTATCAATCAGATTTTGTAATGGTTTGGGCCTTTGAAGAACTATTTTGTAAAACAACCTCAGTGTCCTGTAGTGGCACTGGAAAAAAATTTTCTAATCCTCACCCGAGGACCTGTTTTATTGGTTTTTAGAGAGAGGAAGGAAGAGAGAGAGAGAGAGAGAGAGAGAGAGAGAGAGAGAGAGAGAGAGAGAGAGAGAAAGAGAGAGAGAGAAACCAGTGCAAAGGAAACATTGATTGGTTGCCTCCCAAACATAACCCAACCACCGCGGATGGAACCTGCAACCTATGTACGTGCCCTCACTGAGAATTGAACCTGCAGTCTTCTGGTGCATGGGTGATGCTCCAACCAAGCACGGCAATACTGAAAACTTTTAAATAAATGAGGCCTCTAAATGGTGATTGCAATTGGCTTAAGTTCAGTGGAAACTCAGTATTCAAAGTATCAATGGATAGGAAAAAAAAACAATAAATTTTAGCTTTTGAAAGTTTAGCACAATGCAGTCGTTGTAACAAAATTTATAAACAAAGACCTTGAAATTTATTTCTACAAAATGAGGGAGGAATTGAACACACTAAGTGAAGAAAGTTCAAATGCCATACTAGGATTAATTTTGAAATTTTATAATTGTCTTTACTCATGGGAGGAGTCTCCTCTTGATGAAACTCTTGCTTTTAATTGGATAAATTTATATTGTGTCCTGAAATGAAATGAATTTAAGGAGGCTTACAATTTTGTACTATCTATATTTGGCAAAACATTTAAAATAATACAATTAATTAACTTTTTTTTGACAAGTTTTGTCTTAATTTTTTTAATGAAGAAATGTAGTTTGGAGGCAAAAGAATAGAACTTGTGAAAGCCTTTGGTCTAAAATATTTTCACATTTTTACCAGTAGAGAGGATATTTTCTCAATTAAAAATTATATTAGCTGAAAAGAGTCAATTGAAGGTATTGATAATTTCCATTTGGTAAACTATAAAAATTAATTTTAAGAAAACCATGGGAAATTTCATGAATATTTAATAAGGACAATTAAAAAAAGGTGTGTTTTTTTTAAAGAAAAATGCCAGTGACATCAGTACAAGACAGATGTGACTTAATGAAGCTGATAAAATTATTAAATAGGAACTAAGAATAATTATTTTTAACTTATGTTTTAATTTTCAGATAATTACAATAATAAAGTTAAAAATTTCTGTTTTAATATACATTGGTATATTAATACACATAGGTATATGTTATTTTAAAACAAATTTTGTTAAATTTTTTATGTGTATTGTTAAGTTATTTTGAAATAATTTCCAACTTATAGTATAAAGACATTTTATATACACTTCATATGGATTCATTAATTTTAATATTTTGCTTTATTTGTTTTATCAAGCTTTTTCTGTATACATATTCTTGTTACTTTCTGAACCGTTTGAGATTTGGTTGAACATATCATATTTCTTTACTCTTTAATTATATACAAAAGAATTTTATTTTGAGAATAGTTTTTGAATTAAGCTATCTTATAGATCAACCAATCTAAGGAAACAAAGTTGTTATTTAGTACATAAATATTTGAAAAAATTATAGCATTTCATTTTATTCTCCAAAGTATTGTAGTCTGGACAGTCGTTTGTATAGTCATCCTAAAAATAAGGCTATAATAGGCACTCAGTATATGTTTGTTGGCCTCCTGCTTTCAATGTGGCCTGTTAGCTATATGGTGGTGATGACTGGAGTGTTATGAAATCTTATGATCATACTTCCCCTGTGCCACTTACATCTGAGCATAAGTATATATACAAACTGACTTACACATTGAGAAGAAATGTGATTAAGAACATATTTTAAACACCTAAAGATATCAGAATACTTTTTATAAGACTTGTTGGCTTCAGGCAATTTTTAGAAAGAGTTTAGAGTCAAGATAAACTTTAGACACGCATGATCTAGTTCAGCCAGATTTTTTATGGGAGAGAAAACAGCTGCTTACACCTGGCCATTAGAAAAGTGGAACATTGTCTCCTGGCTTCTTGCCTGGTGACTTCCTTATACATCAAAGATTACTTTAGTGAAGATTTTGGTGATGAGTTATCAGCGCTATTATTTCCTTTTGGTGACCACCATAGTATTATGTTCTCCATCAAAAACAAGAGGCAAAGACTTCTTCTTTTTTTTTTTTTTTAGCTTCAGGAGGAATGTGAGGGCTTAATTTTTTTAAAGTGATGGTGCCAGGTATAAAAGAACTTCAAATAACTTTGAAATTCTTTTTTTTAAAATATATTTTATTGATTTTTCTCAGAGAGGAAGAGAGGGATAGTCAGAAACATTGATGAGAGAGAATCATTGATCAGCTGCCTCTTGTACATCCCCAACTGGGATGTGCCCGCAACCAAGGTACATGCCCTTGAATGGAATCTAACCCGGGACCCTTCAGTCCACAGGCTGATGCTCTATCCACTGAGCCAAACTGGTCCTGGCTGAAATTATTTTTTAAAAGTGTAAAAAATGCAGCAAGTTGTGTTCTATTTATTCCCCCTTTCATTTCAGTATTCTGGAGAAGCCAATAATCTCATTGAAGAATGTGAACAGGCGGAACGACTTGGAGCTGTGGATGAATCTCTGAGGTTTGATTTTTTATTTTTGGCAGCAGCAGTATTTTATGTTATCTTTGTGTGTGTGTGTGTGTGTGTGTGTGTGTGTGTGTGTTTTCCTGTGAAATGTTAACTTGAAAAAAAAAGAATAACACTGTTATCTTTGTTTGAAGTGAGGAAACGCAGAAGGCCGTTCTTCAGTGGACCAAACATGATGATTCCTCAGACAACTTCTGTGAAGCTGATGGTAAGACCTTTCTCATAGTATGCCTTTTGTTTAAGATTGTACCCAAGAAAAAAATAATCCTTTAAAGGTGATTTTTACAAATTCATTTTCTAATGGTTTGGCATTTCCTCAAAAAGTAAACCTAGAGTTACCATATGACTTGACAATTCAACTGCTAAGCGTACACCTAAGAAGACTGAGTACAGGGAAACATTTTTACACCTGTGATTATAGCAGCATTATTCACAATAACCAAGCGGTGGGAAGAGTTTCGATGAATGGATCAATGTACACAGTATAAAGAAAGTATAGTGTCTACATACAAGGAAATACTGTTTTGCCATAAAAAGAAATGAAGTTCTGATACATGCTACAGTGTGAATTAATGTTCAGAACATAATGCTAAGTGAAATAAGCGAGACAGAATAGGACAAGTATTGTATGATTCTATTTGTATGAAATATCTAGATTAAGTAATTTATCACATAGAGACAGAAAGTAGATTAGAGTCTACCAAAGGAAGGAAGGTGGGGAGTTATTGCTTAATGGTTATAGTTTGTTTGGGGTCATAGAAAAGGCTGGAAACAGTGGTGGTGGTTGTACACATTGTGTATGTAATACCACTGAGCTGTACACTTAAACATGTTTAAAATAGTAAGTTTTATGTATATTTTACCACAATAAAAACATTTAAAAAGGAAACTCAGTTTTTAAAAAAATTCACCTCTTGAGTTCCATAGTTCTAGTACTATACATATAATAATAATTATATGTTATATTGTATATAATATAGATTACATCATATAGTATATATTATAATTTTAATAATATATACAGGCATTTTGCATAAATAGCTAAAATGTAGGGCATGCAAAAACCTGTTTCTGTTTCACAGATGTCATATTGTTAAATATTTTCCTTAAGGGTGATGGTCCATGTTACTTTTGAAAAGAGAATAATGACCCATGAGTTGCATATGCTACATCTACTAGTAAAGCTAAGCCAGAGGGCTGGTGCTGTTAAGATGTAGGAGCCCTAGAAACCATTAGAACTTTTTGATCAAGATTTATGGATTTGTCCCTTCTTCCTTTTTCTAGTGTCTCCCTTTTCCTAAATTAAATTGTTTAGCCTTTTAGTTGACTAAACAACATAAAATCAAACTGAATTTTGCTATTTTTCAATGGCTGTTTTAGAGCAAATTAGTAATCTTTTAAACAATTAGTGAAGCCTTAGATGGTGTGGTTCAGTGGTTAGAGTTTTGGCTGGGGCACTGCAGGGTCTTGGGTCTGATTCTCAGGGAAGGGTGCTACCTGGGTTACAGGTTAATTCCCGGCCCCAGTCAGGGCGCATTGCAGGACACAACCAGTCGATGTGAGAGATACATTGATGTTTCTCCTCTCCCCCTCTTTTACTCTATGTCTCTCCCTCACCTCTCTCCTTTCTTCCTCCTGCTCTTTCCTGAGCCTCCCTCCCTTCCATTTTCTAAAAATTAGTGGAGAAAATATCCTTAGGTGAGGATTACAAATAAAATAAAAATTAGTGAAAAGAGTGATACAGATAATTTTAATTACAAGTAAAAGATGAAGCCTGCAAAAAAAAAAAAAAAAAAAAAAAAAGAGAGAGAGAGAGAGAAAGAAAAATAGAAAGTATTTATTTTTAATTTTGTGGCTTAAAAAAAGAAAGAAATACATGCCTTCTTAATAAAAAAACATGACCATATTTTGTCACATTTATATCTATAGCCCTTTATTCTTATTTCCAAATTCTGAAAACTTTGAAAAGTGAATATTGATGTATTTCATGGCAGAGAGATTTATGTATTTGATCAAAAGTTGCTGCCTCAGTCCCTGCTGGGTAATATTCAGTGTATGCTGCATGCCCTGCATTTCCTGAACTCTGAGAAGTTGTGAATTGCAAACACATTTGGCTTTGGGGGCGTTGGATGAGTATGGCTTAGTAAAGGAGAAGGATCCTGCAGTGTTAGGAAAAGAATGGCAGTACCTTTACTTCTGTTTAAAAAGTGTCCTTCTGAGACTGCATGCTCACCTTTGTGTGGCAAGGACTGAGAGCCGATGATTCATTTCTCATGTGGTGTTCTGCTATCTTGGGTGAATCCCTTGACAATTTGTATTTGCTTATTCTGTGAGAGGAGGGTGGGCATTATGAAACGGGGAAGCTTTATAAGGAATACATAATGTGTGTCAATGGTGGGTGGATGGTAGAAGGTATCTTATAAATCCAAATGAGAAATTTCAGCCCTGACTGGCTTTGCTCAGTGATGAGAGCATCGACCCGCGGTCCAAAGGTTTCAGATTCGATTCCCAGTCAAGGGCAAATGCCTCAGTTGCAGGCCCAATTCCTGGCCCCCGTTGGTTGGGTACAAAAGGGATGCGAAAGGGTGGCAACCCATCGATGCGTCTCTCTGACATGGATGTTTTCTTCTCTCTGCCCCCTTCCTCTCTCTTCTCCACTCTCTCTAAAAAAATCAATGGGAAAAATATCCTTGGGTGAGGATTAAAAAAAAAAAAAGAAATTTAAACTTTTGTCATCTGACAAAATATAGTTTTAATAACATTTAAAAAAATAAATGGGAGAGGAAGTATTTATCATAAGGAAAATTATGAGACAATGTTTATCTCTAGGCAAAATATAAAAAAATGTAATCATTTCTTGGTGGTTAGTTTTCTGGCTTAAAGTAGTAGCTGCTGAGCAATATTTATGTGTTTTTATGAATATATTTATGAATTTATTATAATGTATTATATTGTGTATTCTATGTTAGATTCTCAGTTATTTCTAGATGCTTTTGGAAGCAAAATTCTTTGTTGGTTCATATTGTTAAGCTTTCTAGAGGAGTAAGGTTTTGCTGTGCTATTAAATAGTTTCCCAAAGCCACTGGAGGACGAGGGTCCTTTTTGGTGTTGTAGCTTTGAAGTTATAACTTATATACACATTTATTGAACACACGAGAAAGCGATATCCTCCCAATTTTTGTATGTTTTGTTTATATATCTCTAATTGACTTCTCTGTTTATCTTTTCATTTTATTAGATAGCCTTTGTACTTATTTTTTTAAAAATATATTTTATTGATTTTTTACAGAGAGGAAGGGAGAGAGATAGAGAGCTAGAAACATCCATGAGAGAAAAACATCGACCAGCTGCCTCTTGCACATACCCTACAGGGGATGTGCCCGCAACAAATGTACATGCCCCTGACCGGCAGCGAACCTGGAACCTTTCAGTCCGCAGACCGACGCTCTATCCACTGAGCAAAACCGGCTTCGGCAGATAGCCTTTGTACTTAATAGTTTTGACTATAAAATGTACTTAATAGTTTTGACTATAAAATGGCCTGTTAATATACATCATAGCACCAGTACCACAAGCTAATATTTATTATTCTCTCTCCATTGTCCTAAGCACTCTGCACACATATAACTCATTTCAGTCTCACAGAAACACTATGAATATTATCCCCATCTTAGAAACGATGGCACAAGACATAGAGAATTTACATAACTTGTCCTGGATTCTGACCCGGGCACTCTGGCTCCAGAACCCGTGCTTTGCTCTGTTGGGCATTTAGGTTGCTTCCAATTTTCCTTTTATAAATAATGCTGACCCAAATGCCATCCTGGATGGAGCATTTTTCATCTTTATGATTATACCTTTGGGACATGTGGTGGATCCTGATCACGCTCATGCAAGTAGAAAGTATTTGATAACAAACAGTGTCTGGCACTAACACTTCATTTACCTTAGTTACTGATGAACTACTGTGGTCACTATCCAGACAAAGAATATATACATATACACACATTGGAGGGACATGCATATGTATTCTTTGTCTGGATAGCTTATGAGAATTGAATTACCACGTCCCTTTGATTCTAAAATTTCACCGATTTCTATTTTGTATCATTTCTAAAAGCAGGATGCTTTTGCAGCTAGTGTGTACATTTAATGTGGCTGTGTTGGTCCTTTTATCTTTCTCCTGGAAAGTTGTTTTTAAGTCCCTGAGGCATTGACACATTTGTGATGCCTTAGAATGAACGGAAAACAGTCTTCTATACTAGCTTTTTAAAGGTACCTGTAACGAAGATGGGCTCAATGGAAACTTCTCTTTCATAGACATACAGTCTCCTGATGCTGAGTACGTAGATTTGCTCCTGAATCCTGAGCGCTACACGGGTTACAAGGGGCCAGACGCGTGGAGGATATGGAATGTCATCTACGAAGAAAACTGTTTCAAGTATGTGTCATTTCCATCGGTGAATTTTTAGAAGATGTGGTGATTTCCCTCTGTAAACAAACAAAATAGTAACGATTTCAGTACAAATGAATTTACTTTGCTAAAGGATGTATTGGGACACAAGAACATACTTATTCATGAAACCAGTTCTCCTCTGGGAAAACATGTAAACATGTTTCAACAAATATCTTTCTTCTTTAAAAGATTTAGAATGGTATTAGACTTTTATGGGAGTGTTGTGGGCACTTAAAAATGTTCCTTGAGCGGTGTCAGAGAGCCTCATTTTATAGATGAGCTAACCTAGAGCCAAAGAGAGATTTACTTCATTTTCTTAAATCATATATATAGTTAGTGGCAGAGAATAGATCAGAATACGTAATTCCTTATTATCTTTTTGGTGACTTTTCCTCCTCTTTTTGTAGCTATAGCTATTTTACCCACTTCAAAGTTAAATTAATTTTAGAGAATAATTATAATAGCTAACGCTTTTTTATCTTTTATTTTTAATTTCTTTATTGATTATGGTATTACACTCTGTGCAGGCATTGCGCTAAGCATGTTACATAGATCTTCTCCTTTAGTCTTTCCAGTCACCCTGTGTTGTAGTCCTTACTGTTTAAAAATAGAGAAAGGGAAATTTGGAAAGCTGATTTTAAGTGATTTGTCCATCGCCAAAGAACCACTTTGTACTCTAAATCACTATAGCGGAAGCAGTCGATTTGATCTCTGGGTGACTGAGACATACTTCAAGTTTACCCACTTCTAAGCTTTTAGGCTCTAAACAATGTGCTTATTGGTTTTTGGAAGGTAGGGGTGTGTGTGTTACGTATGCTATCTTAGAGATTGGGGGAATTCTGAGAAAATCTTTGGAGTTTCCAGATATGGCAATAATGCATTTCACTTTTTACAAGTCAAATATAAACATAAGAGACCAGCAAATGTACTTATACCAATAAAATACCAGACTGTTGCTTTTTTTGACTTGAAGAATTTCTCCAGTTTGGCAAGTGGTGAGTTTTCAATATTTACTCATTTCTACCATATGTTTCATTTCAATTCTCTTGACTGTTATTCAGAATGTTTATGTTTGGTTTACCGACTTACTTTAAAGGTTTTTTTTTGTGTTTTTTTTAGTGAACTAAAATAGAGTCCAACTGAAGCACTTTTAGATTTTGTATTAGTTTTATAGTTCTTTTCTAATAATTTATATCACGACTACCACAATATTTCTAAAATATAAATGATGTATGAGGTGCTAAATTGAGCATGTTAAAATATAACTTTCATGTTCTGTTCTCAAAATGTCTCAACTTGTACAGATTTGTAAAATCTAAGTAATAAATGTTAATACAATCCCTACACTTCACAAAATGATACTAATGAATATTCATTTTGAGATTTAAAAGCACTTTAGTGACATATTAACTCTCTTTTTTATCCTTATTAATAAAACACACCTTTTATTGAAATCATAACCAACTTGATGGTCACAGAGAAGACTGAGCTACCTAAGATTTCCTAAGTGGAAGATAATCTACCTACACTTTATTTCTTTTAATGCTTGTGTTGGGTATTTAAATTTTTTCTTGTCTTTCAATTGGGAGTGTACTTTGTGGCCTATACACACATTCATGTATGTAATGTATTTAAAAGCATTCTAGTGACTCCAGGAGAAGAGTTTGCATGCTATTTTTTTCTTCTTTGTTTGAAGAGGTAATTAGGAAATGACTTTCTGGATGTTATAACGGGAAAAGATCAGAAACCATTATCATTAAAACAAATAACAACCACCTTCCCTTAAAGCAATCAGAGAAAACTAAATATTTTATAAGCTCAATGAAACAGTTGTGTTTTGGATATAGTCACTAAGAAACTTTCTGAGATAATTTCACTTTTACTTAAGTAACATTACAGGTGACATATTTATATTTTATAACTTTATTTTTGATTCCAGGCCACAGACAATTAAAAGACCTTTAAATCCGTTGGCTTCCAGTCAAGGTGAGTTATTTAATCGCACTGTTATATTCATCGGCCAGAGAACTTTGATTAGCAGGAGGGGGAAGGCCTGAAAAGGGGTGGCAAGAGCACTTGAGATGATATATTCCTTTTTTCCATAGAAGTTATACCTTATTCTTGCAGAGAAGTTGGTGTTTGACACACACTTCAGGAAGGAGTATTTTTGTAATGAAGTTCCTGGTATTGGACTACCATAGGATGAAGATTACGTTACATATTTATCCTATGCATATTCACATAACGTGTGCCCAGTTTTCCTATTTTTAACTCATTTTCTAGTTAAATGAATGTCCACAACCTTCTGCCTCAAATCTTTCCCAACACTTGGAATTATTGTATATATTGGGAGTCTGATTTCAAATTCGCAGGGCTTTGTAGCTCATTAACATTTTTCATTTTCTATTTACACTTATGGTCTGGCCCACATGCTTCCTTTTCCACAAAGTGTTCCCTCATCCTCCAAACTGGGAGTGGTCTCTTCTCCTCACGAAGTGACTTATGCCATGCTTTGTTCCTCTTACAGCCCTTTCCACTGTTTAGCATCATTTGACCATTATTTACTGATCTGTTGATCTACACTGTACTTTGGACACATTTATTGGTCTCATCTCTTAATCTAGAGCCTAGCACATCTTAGAGTCTGTTAGATAATTACTGGATGAAAATTTTCCTCATTTAATGGTCTTGTCTACAATAGTAAAAATCACTTGTTCCTTCAACAAATGATTATCCACCCTTTACTCTATGCTAGGCACTGTGTAGGCGCAGAAGGGATGTGCAACTGAAATTCACAAACCCTTCTCCGATCTATAATAAGCACTTATAATATCTATACATATTACTGATGAAATCTTTGATGTGCTTTTAGCAAATGTGTGAGGTTATTGTTTTTAAACTTATTTGAAAAGCTGTTGATCTCAAATAGTCCATAAACATAAATTTACTCCTCAAAAGCAATGGATTGCATCATCCCCTAAATGCCGGCAGCTTAGTCTTTCTTATGTTAGAAATGGAAGAACATCTTTAAACAAGGCTTTTGAATTTATGGCGTTACATATGGTAACTCAGTGGAAGGTATTGATTTAATATCAGATGAAATGCAAATTCCTAGACAAGAGGTGATCTTCAGTATGAACTCACATTATGGTCTGATAAATTAATTAGCCACCTTCACTTATCTTAAAGATACACAAGAACAATTTAAATGTTCATCTTGGAAGTAGTTAAATGCTTTATGGCATATTCACATAGCCATTATAAATGTTGCTGAAATTTGTATTCATTTGTGTCAATAGTGATCAATAGCACATTGAGAAAAAACAGGTATCAAAACATTACAGAAATAGGCATAGTACACTTTTGTAAAAATATAATAGCTTATTATCTAAACACAAAGAAAAAGGACATTTACCAAGATGTAAATGATATTTATCTTTGGGCAGAGGGGGTTTTGGAGGATATATTTTTTCTTTATTTTGTTTGTGTTCTCTTTTAAAAAAGCACATATTTGCAATGAGCATATGTGACTTAATAATCAAACAGTGATAGCATTGAATGAAAGTGGGCAAATGAAGATAATTTTTTCCATAGTAAATGAGCAGCTGCATACAAACTGCTGAATTGTGCATAATTTGAGACTTACAAATGGTCTCTAAAAATATTCCTGAATAGAGAAAAACTTTATAATGTCAGTCTGGAGGTTTCAAATCTGTAGCAGAAACTACATGATAGCTTTAGGATAAATAACTGTGGAGAACTCCAGAGTACTCTCAGGTGACATAAGATTTTCCTCTCCTGTTAGCCCATGTTAAATCTTGTTTGAGCTGCAACTACTCTTTATTGGGGCTCTTGGAGATGATGCCACTTAGTCAAATCTGGCATAATTCCTATCACCGATAAGAGTTGCAGCCAGGAGTATCTCATGGATTCTGCTTATGTAGATGAATGGATGGGCTAAAACTAACCATTATTTTTATAGAAGTATTTTAAACGGGGCTCCTGGAAGGAGTTTATCATAATAAACATTTTGTTTTGTTTTCCAGGGAAAAGTGAAGGTAAGCAGACTCTCTTTATCATACATTCCATAAATGAATTTTCTTTTATATTCAGATGTTTATTTGGCAAACTTTTTTTTTTTCTTTTCACTACTGAGACTCAGAAGGCGTTAATTTTTATTTCTTTATTAAAAATTCTGGGGGCGAAAGCACAGGTTACGGGAAAACGGCTGTTCCTGGGACCAGACAGGAGGGGCCGCAGGCATCCGCCTCGGATAATCCGCTCCTGCATTTTCCACTGCGCGTGGAAGCGGACAGGCAAACGCTCTTGCTGCCTGAGCTGAGGACCTGCCCGCACTCACTCAGGAAGGTTCCAGACAGGACCAGAATGTTGACTTACTGGCGTCCAAGGTTTATGCTGACTCTTGGGTATAGGTATCATTGCCGACGCTCTAATTCTAATGCTATTATTTTTGACATATTGTAGGTTTACCTTGTCTTTTTCAGAACCCTTTTGTTTTATGAGTGAGATCAAAATGATTTTTGTTACTAAGGTCACGTGTTTAACGGGATGAAAAGACTGAGCCGTACTTGGCTTTAGTCCAGCTAGACAAAATTGCTAAATGTGAAGTATCACTTCCCCCTCCCTCAAAAGTTCCTGAACATTATTTTTATGAACTGCTTTTGCATTATGTCTAAATAAGTGATACTAAAGTCTTACAACACTGCTATTTTATTATTGTACATTGAAAGGAACGGTAGTAGCTAAATAAAATACTGAATTAGGCCCAGCCAGTGTTGCTCAATGGGTTGAGCACCAACCCCAAGAACTAGGAGGCCACGGTTCAGTTCCTGGTCAGGGCACATGCCCTGGTTGCAGGCTCAACCCCCAGTAGGGAGCATTGAGGATGCAGCTGATCCATGATTCTGTCCCATCATTGATGTCTCTCTCTCTCTCTCTCTCTCTCTCTCTCTCTCTCTCTCTCTCTCTCTCTCTCTCTCTCTCTCTCTCTCTCTCCCCCCCCTCCCTCCCTCCCTCCTTCCCTCTCCCTTCCTCTCTCTAAAATCAATAAAAAGCAAAAATAAAAAATAATACTGAATCAGAACTGTACTATTTAGAAGAGAAATTTCTTTAGCCTGGTTGCCCCTAACTGCCCCTCTCCCCACTGGCCTGGTTGCCCCTTACTGCCCCTATGCTGGCCTGGTTGCCCCTAACTGCTCTCCCTTGCTAGCCTGGTCGCCCCCAACTGCCCCGCTTGCTGGCCTGGTCGCCCCACGCAACCTGCTGTTCAGTTGTTACTGTTACTGTGACGACATCCTGGACAATTTGTATATTCCTCTATTATTAGTGTAGATTCCCACTTTAATAACAGATATATTATAGTTTGTATATAATTATTCCCATGCTTACTTGCTTCCTTAACCTATGTTTTAGTCAGCTCAGGCTGCTCTGACAAAAGACCATAGAGGGGTGGTTTAACCAAAGACATTCATTTTCTCACAGTTCTGGAGGCTGGGAGGTCCTGGGTCAAGGCGCCAGCAGGTTTGGTGTCTGGCGGCCCTCTTCTTGGCGTGCAGGCAGCCATCCTTCTTGCTGTATTCTCACAGGGCAGAGAGAAGGAGCTCAGGCCTCTTCCTCGTCTTATAAAGACTAATTCCATCATGGGGACCCCACCCTCATGACTCAACTAATCCAAGTACCTCCCAAAGGCCCCACCTCCAAATACCATCATGGGGGCTTCGACATAATTTCAGGGGGTATGCAAACATTTATCTCTTACCGCCTAGATTTGTAGAAATGGATTTACTGGACCAGAGGATAGGACGAGATTGCATTTTGTCATGGAAAGGATGTGCTAATTTACACCCCTTCCAATCACTGTGCCAGCTGATTTTACTCTTCCCTTGTCAGCATTAAATATTATATTTTTACCTTTATGGTTAACAGTGGTATCTCTATAGTTTTAATTTGTATTTTTTATTACTTATGAGACTTATTTGTATTTATTCATTGTGAATTCTCTGCTCATTTTATTTGCCCATCTGTAATGGGTACTTTAGCATTTTTATTCAGTGTATGAGCTTTTTGTATTTTTAGGATATTATTCCTTTGTTGAATTTGACACATCCATTTTATATACTTTGTTGTTTGTATTTTGTTTTTATTTGTGAAGTTTTCCAATAGACATTTTAAGTTTTCAGATAGTCTGATGTTTTGCTTATTCTTTTTGTCATTTCTTCCATTACTTTTATGCTTGCTTGGTTCATTTTTAATATTACTGTAAGCAACTTTAGTCAAAGAACAATATAGTACAATGTTTGCTATATCTAGCAAATGTATACTTAGAATTATTACAGTTATAATTATTCCTTATATCTTTTAATATATTATTTTAGATAAAATATTTTCATGTTACACATTCTTGTCATTTTATTTACTTAAAATGTTTATTTTTATTTTTATATAAAATACATTTTTATTGATTTAAAAAAATTTTTTTAGAGAGAAGAAGAGAGAGGGAAACATCAATTGGTTGCCTTTGGTACATACCCGGACTGGGAACCATAATTGTCATTTTAATACTTTTATATTATTCTACCATGTTAACTAGTTATATAGTATTCTGTCTTGTTAAATTAGGCATCATTGTTCATTTTGATTATTTCAGGTTTTAGTATAATTAGCATAATCGTTTTTCTAAAAATTATAACCCCTCCACAATTTGAGTTATTTCTTGTTTTAAAAAAATATATTTTTATTTATTTCAGAGAGAAAGGGAGAGGGAGAGATAGAAACGTCAATGATGACAATCATTGATCAGCTGCCTCCTGCACAGCCCACACTGTGGATCCAGGCATGTCCCTGACCAGGAATTGAACCTTGACCTCCTGGTTCATAGGACAACGCTCAATTACCGAGCCACACCTTCTGGGCACTGATTTATTTCTTTAGAACATAATTTTAAAAGAATTACTAGGTCTAAGTACATTAACAGTGATCTTACTAGGTCATAGAATATAAGTGATGTTTAGTTTCTGCAGCTTTTCTTTGATTTGCTCTTTTGAAATGTTGAATGGTTTATAATACCCTAAGCAATATACACTTCTGATTCTACTTTATAATTTTTATTTACTTTTCAAATTAAAAAAACAAACACCTATAATGAGTTCTTAGTTCTCATAACATAAACTGTTATCAAGGCTAAGTATTTTTCCATGTATTGACTTAACATTTAAATTCTGCTTTGACTTTCTGTAAATCACCTTATCTAGAAAGTTATTATTAGACTGAGCTACTTAGTGGTATTTAACTGAACCCATACCAAGATATCTCTCCTTCCTTTGGAGAAACTGCAAATAAAATTTGGACCTTTTGTCAAACAATCTTTAAATCACTGTTTGGCACACATTTGCTGTATTTTTAAACTTTTGAAAAAACTTACTTTTTGGCCTTTTTGTAATCTTGTGACTTTTCTTTTGATTTCAGAGAACACCTTTTACAGCTGGCTAGAAGGTAATTGAAAACTTTTCAACAAATTGAAATGATTTTTCTCTCTCATTTTTTTTAAAAGACACATGAAGTTAATTTCATAACCGTACAAGTTTCACATATGAAATGTCTATTTCCAAATTCCCTTTTTTAGGTCTCTGTGTAGAAAAAAGAGCCTTCTACAGACTTATATCTGGCCTACATGCAAGCATTAATGTGCACTTAAGCGCACGCTATCTTCTGCAAGGTACATGATGTTCACTTCCATTCCTTTTACCACACTTTTTTTTAGGTATTCTTAACATTTTCTTGGTATTTACCTGAATGGAACACTATTAACCTTACTGAGTATTAGGCAGGAAAAGTTCATTCTTAAATGGTAGTAATCAGGAATCCAGGAGCTATAGTTACTGGAAGGAAAAGTTCAGCATTATAATAGTATCTTGGCTCTCCATCTTTTAAGAAGCTGCTCAAAACTTTACACATCTCTTTGGAAATGTTCTTCTGTTGGGGGAACTGAAACAGCACAGCTTGTTATTCTTTAGATATTACTGTATCAGAGCTCATTTACTTGTGTGCCAGCATCAGGCCTAAAGTTTAGTGGGTAAAAGCATTTTCTGTTGCTCTTTAGCGTTTAAGAATAGTATTGAAAATGAAATGAAACCATGGTTGATTTTCTTCAGTAACATATTTCTTCTGGAATTAAAGTGTTTTTTACATTTTAGAAATAAACTGTAGTAATCTGAAGGCTTCAAACTCATTAGTAATACCAGATAGTCATTTTAAATTGTGCTTTTTGGTTTTATGAATACATATATATTCAGAAACTTGATTTTTAGTGAACCTAGTTTCTCAGTAAGACATTTAATTTATTTTCCTTTTATGCATGGGTTCTAGGAGATAAAATATTAATATAGAACTATTAAAGGCTAAGTTATGATAACAGTTTTCATGGTTATATTATTATATATTTTAATATATAAAATTAAATTAATTTCTGTAGGTATAAACAACCTAAGGTAACTTTATCTAATTAAGCCTACTTAATTTTAAAATTAAATTTTTAATATTTAATTCTTCTGTCTTCTTAGATACCTGGTTAGAACAGATATGGGGACACAACGTAACAGAATTTCAGCAGCGGTTTGATGGAATTTTGACCGAGGGAGAAGGTCCAAGAAGGCTTAAGAATTTGTATTTTATCTACTTAATAGAATTAAGGGCTTTATCTAAAGTGGTACCATTCTTTGAGCGCCCAGATTTTCAACTCTTCACTGGGAATAAAGTTCAGGATGCAGAGAACAAAATGTTACTTCTGGAAATACTTCATGAAATCAAGTAAATGATATATTTACACTATTGTCCATATTTTAAAATATATTTTTATGATTTTAGATAGAAAGGGAGAGGGACAGAAAGATAGAAACATCAATGAAGAAAGAATCATTGATCGGCTGCCTCCTGCACGCCCCCCACTAGGGATCAAGGCTGCAACCTGGGCATGTGCCCTGATGGGGAATCACACCATGACCTCCTGCTTCATAGGTTGATGTTCAACCATTGAGCTGTGCCAGCAGGGTCACACCTATATTAATAGAAGAGTGACAAGTGGTGCCCAAAATTAAACACTTTAATATGTAATATAGAGAAAGGGAAACTATTTAAAAAATAACTAACAGCAAATTTTGCTCATAGGTCTTCAGAATTGATTTATGTTTTAACCTGGGTACTAAAAAGCATTTATTTTTCATTCTAAGAGCTATTCTTTTAGTACTTAGATATCTGCGTTATTTTCACATTTAGTTGAATAGGTTGGATTTGAGGCCAAACTTCAATTAGATTTTGCAATTAGCTTTTAGATTCAAGGATAAGAATCTACTTGGGGACATCAGAGTGTTCCTTTTTTTTTATTTTCTACTCTATTTTCATTATATGATTCATCACTGACTAGCAAAATGTTATTTCAGCAACCTTTTAATATTTTCTAATACATAAAAATGAATATTCTCTGTTTTAAAATGCAGGTCATTTCCTTTGCATTTTGATGAGAATTCATTTTTTGCTGGGGATAAAAAAGAAGCAAACAAGCTAAAGGTAATTATTTTATACTTTACCTTAATTTTTAGTTACAAACTCTTAGGCAGGAATGAATATAAACCCATGTTTTTATCCTTAACAATGAATCTTGATGTACATCCTGAAATTATAAGAAAAATCAGAGTCCTAATGTTTCTTTTCCTCAGAAAAAGGAAGCCCAAAGGCAGGTCCAGCGTATGATCTAGTTTGGGTCGTGTTAAAAATAACCACGGAAATCTGTGGGCTCCAGACTGATGGGCTCGTGCAATAAAGAAAGGTTATAAATTAAAGAGGCGGGACCTAGAGCATAAGCGGAAGTGTGAGTCTGCCTTCGGCTAAAGAGAATTCTGAAAGTGGTTCTGGTTGAATAAAGGGTCCCTTCCGGGGAAGAGAGCGCAGTGTTGTTTTGTGGATCATCTTGTTCAATGGGAGTGAAAGGCATTTAGGAATGCCAGCAGGTAGCTGTGGACAGAACAGAAGACCTGGTACCCCACAAAATGGGATTTGTTTTTGCCTTGCCTCTTTTTGTTTATTGATGTGTGTGTGTGTGTGTGTGTGTGTGTGTGTAAATATATATAATTTTTTTTCCATTTCAATTACAGATGACATACAATATTATATTAGTTTAGTTGTACAATTTGCCTTACTTTCTTAATAGAGTTATAACCTCAGGCAAGCCCATTTTTGTGTCTGTTTGCATAAAAATATGACAAGTATAAAATAATATTAGAAAGATTTATTAGATGCTTACTACTATGTGGAAGGCATGATTTTTGTCATTAAAGGGAAAGAGCGTCTATCCTCAAGGGATTTCTAGCCCTATTTGGGGACCCAAGTAAAATTACATTACTGTTCTTTGTCACAAAGGTATGTGTAAGTAGAGGTGGGTGGCCTTCAGGAACATTGAGCTCCTGTTTTCATCAGCATATTTTTAACAGCCTTCCTCTGCTTGCTTTTAAAAAAAAATATATTTTATTGATTTTTTACAGAGAGGAAGAGAGAGGAATAGAGTTAGAAATATCGATGAGAGAGAATCATCCATCAGCTGCCTCTTGCACACCTCCTACTGGGGATGTGCCCGCAACCAAGGTACATGCCCTTGACCGGAATCGAACCCAGGACCTTTCAGTCCGCAGACCGACGCTCTACCACTGAGCCAAACTGGTTTCGGCCTTCTGCTTTTTATTATTTGTTTCTTACTGTAGGGGAAAAACCTGACTTTATGCCATTTGCAAGCAAAATACTTTTTGCAGTCAGTTTTGTGCTGTTAGGTAACAGTTATTTTTGACCTCCCATCTACCTCCTACTTAAAGCATTCTTGCTAGAAATACATACCTCCCTGCTTATATAACCTCCCAAACAGCTTCCAGGAACTTAGGAATGAGGGGGAAGATGCTGTAATAAGATTTCCCCCCATACTAGTTTCAGTATCTTCCTTATTTTTAGGATACTTGCTAGTTTATTTTAGAGTTTTTCGGCATTCACTCTTTTTTATGTTGCACAGATTAGAAATATTTCTCACAATGTTTTAATTTTATTAGAATGAAAACCCTCAAGTTCAATGTCTGTGGCATTTAACAGATCATTTTTCTAAATCCTTTTACAAGAAAGGAGTAAAGAAAACTTGTTAATATCGGAGATTTACTTTCTTAAAGTAGTAGTTTATGGTGGATATCATGGATTTAAACAGTCACACAAGTTCTTTTAAAAACCTTATCTTTTCTCCTCTGTGCTCTATCGGTGTTTGACTGGAAATTGAAGACTTGTGTGAGAGAGGCTTGTTCAGTGTTCCTCTCAAACTAGAATACGGTTTTACTTGAAGGCTTAAAAATGTTTGAGAATTGGATGAGAATTATTTTTTGGTCAATTGGTTTCATAAGTCACAGTATATAACCATAGCATGTTTGATTATTCTCCGCTCTGGTTATATTTTAATTTTTGATCTCGGAGTTGTATACAAACAAGGGGAATTTGTAAGTGACTTAGGTTCTGGTTATTTTTTTGGATCATAAGTTTTTATCATCTGAGGTAACTTTGGAACATACATATAAATATTTCTCTCTTTTCTGCATCCGGCGTGGCTAGAGAGTGTCTGGTTCCTGAGTAGGGGCAGCTGGGGATTGAGAAAATGAAAGAAAGAGACAGATACAGAGACAGAAGGAAAGAGCTGTGTCGGGGTGGGACAGCTATCATCTGGTGGAGAGACAGTGATCCAGAGCCGATTCAGTGCGTTTATTTTACACAGCAAAATACCAGGAAGTTTTACTATAGCCTAAGACAAAGGAGATTATGTGCATTCTATGGTTTCTTTGTAATACCGTGTTTCCCCGAAAATAAGACATCCTCCGAAAATAAGACCTAGCCCATGGAACGATAAGACATTCCCAGAAAATAAGACCTAGCGCAACTTTGGGAGAAAAAATTAATATAAGACACTGTCTTATTTTCCAGGAAACAGGGTAGTCACTTCTGGGTGGGCCTGGATAATCGTGTTTGTTCCTGGTGCTTGACTGGACTTAGATAATGAAACCCGCCCCCTGGCACCTGAGCTGAAGGTCAGGCTGACAACACACCTGCCTCTGGCAAGGTATGCTTCCAGGGAGTGGCTCTGCTGGGCACAGTGGATTCAGATGACAATCAGCTCAGGGGGCTCTTCCAGGCGCTCCCTATAGTACGCACGATATTGGACATTGATTGCTATTTTTGGAAATCACGAGGATTTTCTCCTGTTCTGAGTTAGTTAATTTCTGGCTTGTTAATTTGGTTCTAGTATATTAAGTTCACTTAAGCTCTAATGCTTGGTTTTAATTTTGCAGTGTTAGAAGCTTACCATCTCTGCATGTTCCATACAAAGATTTACTTGAGAGTTGCCTTACATTCAAGTATTTGAATTAACATGGATTCAAATACTGAATTTACACAATGCCTACAAAAACAAGCACAATCTTTTATAATAAAGTTTTTCATCCTTTGCAAGTATGAAAGTAAAAAACTTTCAAGGCCTTTCCTAACTTTTAATTAGTAACATTTTAAAGTAAAAGTTGTGTTTTATTGATCATAACATTTTTATCCATTTGAAAATTTATAATGCATAACAGGGAGCTATTTATTCAGTCTCTATACAGTGCTTATCTACAAATGGATTTTGTAGGGCCTTGTAACAACTATTAAGTCTCCCAGAGTCAACACCTCGTAGGATGGGTTTTACATCTATTTTGAGTAATTTTACTGCTCCCTTATTAGTGTTAAAAGTATGATTTTCCTGTAATTCAAAGTCGAAACATAAATGTAAAGAAAACCTCATATCAAATCACCAAAACCTCAAGAGTAATATGAGTAATATTACTGGGTAAATATTTTTAAAAAGTAGATTTAAAATTAGGATTACCTCTTACTGAGCTCAGCCCAAAAGATACAGAAACACGAGATATAAAGTATGCTAACATATGGTAAACATTAATAGTGATAATGTGCAACCAAAGGACTTGTGTGCATGCATATAAGCCTAACCAGTGGCCATGGACAACAGGGGTGTGGGAGCATATGTGGGGAGGGGTTTGGGATGGGAATGGGAGGATGAGGACAATTATGTGATAAAATCAATAAAAAAAAACAACTAAAAAAAAATAGTGATAATGTGGGCTTTGTATGAATATAAAATTTGTATTTAAAAAGATATCGATACAAGCTCTGAGATCCTACTAAAGAGCTTTTACATGTCACAGCTGTTTCAGAGTCTCAAGCTGAACGAAACATCTGGGGAAAGACTGAATTGAGTAAATTAGATTGAATTGAGGTCTGCTTTGAATAGTGGGTTCCAATCTTTACTGATTTATTCCTATTTTTAGATCTTTGGTCCTGTTCTCTTCTTATTGAGCCCAGTGTGTGATTATCACATTAAAAAAAAGAGAGAGAGGAACACTATCTGCTCTCCAAATTATGGGTCAGTTGGTATACTGAATGTTTCATCTGAAGTGTACATCAGGTTTCCTGCTTGCAGTACTGTAAGCTGATTCTAGTAACAAGGATAGAGGGAGTCATGTGCAGGATCAATTGATAATTCTTACCTTTGGAGTAAATGAAGATGTGTCCTTGGCTTCCCTTCTCTTCTCCTTATTAGTTAAGGGCATATATTGCTTTTGGACGAGCCAGATGTCTATTGCCCTATTATAAACAATACTACAATAGCTAGAAGCCCGATGCACGAAGATTCATGCAAGAATGGGCCTTCCTTTCCCTGGCTGCTGGCACTGCCTTTCTGTTCTGGCCCCCAGAGCCATCCCTCTCCACTCCGGCCCTGCCTTCCTACACTGTCCAGAGGCCCTGAGTGGCTGGGGCGGTTCGGAATGCCTGCAGTGTCGCCATGGCAACAATGCAAGTGTCCCACCCCCAGCTGCTCAGGGCCTCCGTATGCAAATTAACCCGCCATCTTTATTGGGTTAATTTGCATACTCCTGATTAGCTGGTGGGCATAGCGAAGGTATGGTCAATTTGCATCTTTCTCTTTTATTAGTGTAGATAGTAGACTGAGGTTCAAAGACATATACACATTTATTAAAATATAAAAACAAAAAATTCAGCCTGGCTGGTATAGCTCAGTCTATGAGCATTGACCTGTGAAGCAGGAGTTCATAGTTCGATTCCTGGTCAGGGCACATGCCCGGGTAGCGGGCTTGATCCCTGGTGTGGGGTGTGCAGGAAGTAGCCGATCAGTGATTCTCTCTCATCATTGATGTTTTTATCTCTCTTTTCCTCTCCTTTTTTCTCTGAAATCAATAACTAATATATTTTTTTTCAATTAGAATGTTTTCAATTTTGCTTGTAATGGTTTCTTTATAAAACTTTGTGAAGGGTACACGGATGTTCACTATATCCTGTATATTTCTGAATAATAATATCTGATTTTTTCACATACTGTGATTTTTTTTTTAACTACTGTGAAGTCAAAGGTTTTTATTTTTTCTCTTCCTCTTTTTGGTAAATGATGCCATCCAACCCCTTGTCCCCCCTTTGACATAGTTAATAATCACATACAACAGAATACCTCACAGGCATTCAGAAAATGGTTTTTGACTATATACCGCAGCTTAATACAATTTTGTTAATTGTTCTTAGGAGGACTTTCGACTGCATTTTAGAAATATTTCAAGAATCATGGATTGTGTTGGTTGTTTTAAATGTAGACTGTGGGGAAAGCTTCAGGTAAGCAAATCTATCTCAATCCTATTTTTCACTTATTCTTTGCACAAATAATTTTCTGACATTTTCTTTTTTTCTTATTTCTGTTATAGACTCAGGGTTTGGGTACTGCTCTGAAGATCTTGTTTTCTGAGAAACTGATAGCAAATATGCCAGAAAGTGGGCCCAGTTATGAATTCCAACTGACCAGACAAGAAATAGTGTCATTATTTAATGCATTTGGAAGGTTAGTATAAATGTATTGAAATTGTTTCTGCTAGTCAAATAAGTCTAATGCAACATGTATGTTCTCAGATTATAATATGTATGTGTAAGGAATATCCTTTTAAGTGAAAGTATCTCATTATGGAATTCTAGGATATTATGATACCTTAAGTATGTAGACACAAACAATCATTACATGATAGTCTTTATTTTTATCTGTTGACTTTTATAGTCGTGATTAGTTTACTGATAGGACCTCAAAATTCATCTTACTGAATCTGTATAAATTTTTAATTATTATTATTATTATTGTTGTTGTTAACCCTCACCCAAGGGTTTTTTATTTTTTTATTTTTTTAGAGAGTGGAAGGGAGAGGAGGGGGAAAGGGAGAGAGAAACATCAATCTGAGAGAGAAAGATTGACTAGTTCGTGCACTTGCTCATTTGGACTGGGGCTGGGGATTGAACCTGCAATCCTTGACTGGGAATTGAACCCTCCATCCTCTGGTCCATGGCATTAACCACTGAACCACATGGTATACCACTCCAATTATTTAAAAGTAGTTTTTTGTGCTGCCCAAATGTTTATATGTGTATATATATATTTTGATTTCAGAGAGGAAGAGAGAGATAGAAATATCAATGATGAGAGAGAATCATTGATCGGCTACCTCATACATGCCACCTACTGGGAATCGAGCCTGCAACCCAGACATGTCCCCTTGACTGGAATCGAACCTGGGACCCTTCAGTCCATAGGCCGATGCTCTATTCACTGAGTTAAACCAGCTAGGACCAAATATTTTTTGAAGGTCCTAGAAAAACTCATGTTTTGTATAGGTATAGATGTAAAATTTCTTTGTAAATTCACCACTATGTAAACAAGTTAATAATTCTTTAAAAATAATTTAATTTTATAAAAATGATTGGAAGATAAACTTGAAATAAGGCACTTACATTATAAAATTTAGGTATATCTGTACTTTTTTAAAAAAAAATATTTTATTGATTTTGTACAGAGAGGAAGGGAGAGAGATAGAGATTTAGAAACATCGATGAGAGAGAGTCATCAATCAGTTGCCTCTTGCACACCCCCTACTGGGGATATGCCCGCAACCAAGGTACATGCCCTTGACTGGAATCGAACCCGGGTCCCTTCAGTCCCCAAGCCGAGGCTCTATCCATTGAGCTAAACTGGTCTCGGCGGTATATCTGTACTTCTTTCTGGCCTCTCATATGAAAGGATACAGAGATTTATAAAAACTAATATTTTCTAAGGACTAACAATTATGATTTAATATTTTGGGTTTGAAATAATTGACCTCCAAAATTATTCTTTTTTGTTGTTTTTTAATCCACACCTGAAGGAATTTTTCTATTGATTTTTAGGGAGAGTGGAAGAGAGAGGCTATGACATCAATGTGAGAGAAACACATCGGCTTGGGCCAAAATTATTTTTTAGTACACAGAAACTTGACAGTTATATTTCATTGAGTACTCTGCTACTTTTTTTCATAGTGGAGAGCAGAGCTAAACTATACTTGAAGTAATGAACAAACTTTACGTTTTATAAAAATTAGTGAGAACAATTTGATCATATGTTTACTATTCTCACCTTAAAGTCCAAAAGCTTTGGTTCTTTAGTATATTTACTAAATATGATATATTGATTAGTTTTCATTACTTGTGTATTTATGCATATTTAAAATGCATATTTCAATGATCTACTTATCTGTATGTACTTTAAATACTAAGCATATGAATATACTTATGATTACTTAAAATAACAAGTATTTTAATATTTTTGTACTTTGTAATTCTCTAATTTAATACTAAGTTATGAATACTTAAAAATAAATTTCTGGGCAACACTATCTTAGTTTTACATCAAGTTAAGAACTAAAGTACATCAAAATAGATTAAATTATTTATGTACCTTTAAATTCATTGAAATAAATTACATTTTTTCCTGTGCTTGGTAAGTACAAAGTGAATAATTTTCAGAGAAAAGTTATCTAAGATAGTTTTTGAATGGAAAAAAAATTTTTGTTTGTTTGTTACAGAATTTCTACAAGTGTGAAAGAATTAGAAAACTTTAGGAACTTGTTGCAAAATGTTCATTAAAGAAAATGAGTTGAAATGTGCCTGTGCTGGACAATGGAGGTCAAAGAGAGGAATGTCATTCAAAGAAATAAAAACGACAGTCTAAAGGCAAATGTTTTATAAAGCTGCTTTTGTAAAAGGAGAATTATATTATTTTAAGTAAACATTTTTAAAAATTGTGTTAGATCTGTGTATAATATTGTGAATAAAAGTGATACTTTGGGGTATTGTGGTACAGATTTTAAAGTTTAATGTTGAATAAAATCAGAATTATTAAATTCATATATGTTAAAACTAAGTACCTGATGTTCTAAATCTCTCAAACTAGAATTTTGTGTAAGATGTAATATAAATAAAACTATGGCCAATATGACAAGTGTTTAATAGAAAAATACTAAGGAGGCTCATGAATAACGAATAATTAACAGCCTAAAAATTTTGAATACATTTAGACTTAACTGATTTAGTAAGTGAAAATACAGAATGCCCAGTTATGTTTGAATTTCAGATAAACAAAAAATTTAAAAATATAAGTATGTTACATGCAATATTTGGGACATACTTAAAACAAAAAATTATTCCTTATTTAAAATTCAAATTTAACTGGTTACCTTTTCTTGTATTTGGCAACTCCGAAATATATTGATATGAAAAAAGTCACTTTTAGAGTTATGTTACTATTTTGATTGGCTTGTTTTTGTTTGTAGAAAGATAACAATCACAACTAAAAGGTATAGGGGATTTCTATACATTGTGAAAAGTTGAAAAGATTTATACATGTATTCTCATAATACTTTAATACTGGATAAATTTAGGAGAAATCTTTTATTTTTATATATTTTCAAATTTACAGGAAAGTTTCTTGGATAGTACAAAGAACTTTCATCCAGATTCATTGACTGTTAATATTTGCTTTATCTTTCTTGCTCTTTATTTATACACATAGTACTTTTAACTCAATCATTTGAAAGTCAATGACAGACTGTTTGAACCCATACCATAGTTTGTAATACTGAGTAATTTATTAAAAACTAGAGGACCAGTGCCCAAAATTCGTGCACGGGGTTGGGGGTTGGGGTCTCTCATCCCAGCCTGCACCCTCTCGCAGCCTGGGACCCCTCGGTGGACATTTCTCTTGCAATCCGGGATCCCTCTAGCAGTCCCAGACCCCTTGCTCATTACTGTCTGCATGCTTGCTGCTCCTTAGCACAGCAAAGGAGGGAGAGGCTCCCGCCACTGCAGCTGTGCTTGCCAGCCATGAGTCCGGCTTCTAGCTGAGTGGTGCTCCTCCTGTGGGAGTGCACTGACCACCAGGGGACAGCTCCTGCATTGAGCATCTGCCCCCTGGTGGTCAGTGTGTGTCATAGCAACTGGTTGTTTAGTCATTTGGTCAATTTGCAGATTAGCCTTTTATTATATAGGATGATTTTTTTTTTTTTTAGGAAAAAAAAAATCTGGAACTATAATGTGATAAGCTTTAGAATAAGGAATCATTTTGAGTTTGTTTTATCGCCCTTTTAATGTTTGATCTGTAAACTCATAGGAATTTCTTAATTTATTTTTTGGTATTCATTTCCTTTTTCTTCTTAAAAACTAAACTGTAATTTTTGGAGGTTTTATTAGTGAAAGCTCTTCAATGATAAAAATTTTTGAAGGGGTTTGGGAATTTATGTCACATGGTAATTATAGAGAAAAAAGAAACGGTATACCTCAAAATTATGTGCCTCTTTATATATCACATTAATGAAGTAGGGTTTATTTATATAATGGTTTAGAAATGTCATTTTACACTGCTGTATTCTTTTTCTTCTGTGTCCCTAAGACCTGGTGTAGTGTTAAACACATAGTGGGTATCCAATAAATATTTGTTGAATGAATGTATGAATATGTATTCAGTATATTTTAAGTGAATAATTTCAGAGCTAAGTTTCCCCCCTTCATTTGAATAGGGTAGGAAAAGAAAGACATTAATTTATTAGTTAAATCAGTATTTTTGGAGACTCAAAGAACTATGAAATAATCACCATATATAAAAGTTGAAGGACAGTGCTCTGAAAATGTGGTAGATGGATTTAAATGGTAATTTGTCTCTATATGTCTCTCATGCCCCCTGCCCTTTTTTTAACAGCAAAATTTCTTTTGAAAAAATATTCCTGTCTTCAGTTTGTCACCTTCCACTTGCTCCTTAACTAAAATCGGGCTTTTGGCTCTGTACTTAACAATCTCTTCCTTCGAAGCCTAAACACCCAGTTCTAAATCCAAGTCAAAGGCATTTCTTAATTTGACTTTTTTTTCTTCTTCTGCATTTGATCCTGTTGACAGCCCCTTCTTTAAAAATCCACCTTTGATTTCCTTATATTTCACTTAATCCTGGATGCCTTCCTTTTAGCCAGCTTTAATTTATACTACTCCTCATGCTCTCATTCTTGCTCTCTTAATCACCACCACTTCTCACTTCTGGGTAATTCCAATTCACTGATTTCTAAATCCTTATCTTTAGCCCAGACTTCTCCATCCATCTATGACCTACCTTTACTTAGTTGTCTTACATGATCTTTACTTGTGTGTCTTAAAGCAGTCATTCTCCCCCAAGCCTACTCTTAGACCTATCTTCCTTGCTCTGCTTAAATTCAGAACCATTATCATCTACATATTTTAGGCTCACTCCTTCCCTCCATCTTACCCCTATCCAGTCCGTGTCTAAGTGCTATGGATTTTATCTCCCTATCTCTGATACATCAATGTCTTTCCATTTTAATTGACTGCTCTTACCTAAAGTACTATACTAACCTGTCTTGTACCCAGCCTGTCTTTTTCTGTTTGGCTCCACAATGCTACTAGAGTGGGTTTTCTAGCAGCACTCTAACAATGGTCTCTGATGTGTGTCTCCCAGGCCCACCTCCCCCACCACCTTCATTCTGAGGAAATGGACCTACAGTTCAAATGCACCATGGTCAGTCGCCTACACCGTGGTGCAGGCTGCTCTCTTTGCATCAAGTGCCCTAGCTATCCATCCCCACGTGGACAATTTCTCTGTGTCCTTGCAGGCTCCCATTTATGTCCCCGTTTCATCCAAGGAGGACCCTAACGAACTTCCTTCACTGTGTTACCACTGATAATTACAACCTACCTCTATTGTGCCACTGATTGTACTGTATTGTTTTTGTTTTTTAAAGCCTCCTCTACTAGAATGTGAGCTCCTTAAGGGCAGGAAAAAGAACTTGATCCATTTTTGCATCTCTATAGCATAGTTTTTGACATATGAATACTTAATAAATGAATGTTTGTTGAAAAAATCTGCTTTTAAAACGATAACTTTATTCTATTAGAGGTTAGATTTTCATTCCAAATGTCTTCACAGCAAGAGTCAGTGATTCCCAAAGATTTGTGAACTCTAGGGGAGTCAATAAAGCTCCTGAAATTGTATTCAAAATTTGGAATGGTTTTGGCAAACTATTATGAAAAAAATAGTAAGATCTCTTCTTTCAGGGGAAAAGGTAACATCATTGAGGAATATTTTGAATAATCGAAGAGTAACTGCCCGAGATTATGGGCTAGGTAAATTTATCCCTATTTAAGATTCTAAGGGAAAGGAGAGAGGGGTTATACGTTATTTCATACAAGGATTTTTCTTACCTTAATTCTTGAATACATGTGTTGCCTATATTGTTTAAAGTAAAATGTATGGCAGTTCTTATCAAAATTACTGTACAATACTAAAGGACATGATGGTCAGGTATAAGTAAGTATAATATAAGCTCACTAGCAGAGGATCATTTGTAATTCCTATTTTCTCTCCCTATGGTAGCACTAGGGTTCTTATCCTTATGTAACAGAAACTCATTTGGAATAGTTCATGAAGAGAAATTAAGAAAACCAGACCTCCAAATAAAAGCACAAACACTTTTATTTTTAACAGGAGTGTTTTGTTACAATTCAGTGAAACAACAAATAAATACATTCATTGACCACAGCTATACTTTTACAACCAGTATAAAACTGATCATATAGCTGAGAAACACTGTTAAACAATAGAAAGGCAGCTATGCATAAAAAAAGCTACTATCTATAAATTACGTCTTTAATAAAAACTACAACCAGCTATAATGAGTGGTAAGAGTTCCAAAATTAATGGCCACCCAAATGAAACTATAAAAAACAAGTACTGCTAATCACTGTAGAATTACACACTTAAGCAATGAAATGCATTGTTCCAACTAATGAACCAAGAGGAAGGTTTGAAATTGTCATCATGTGCTTCAGTGCAGGATGAACAAGGAATCGGTAGCCCTTTGATTTTATAAACAACTCCTTTCAAGACCAGACTTAAAGTGCTCCTAGTGCTTTGGAATTCTCAAGCAAAAATTGGGCCAGAAGCTTATATTTCTTTGTCTTTGGTGATGTATTGTGGGAGATGTGTATAAAGAGACAAAGGCAAGAATTTAGGTACCGTAGTTAGTCTTAAGAATATATTTATAAATCTCAAATTTGGAGGAATCAACTTAAGCAATTGAAAGAACCAAGTTATTTTTATCTAAAATACTTTTTAAAAAGTAATCTTTGCTTATCTGGTCAAATAGAAACATTATCTAGGGAAGCCTTACTAGAAAAAAATTTCCTGTATTTGAATCCCAAGGGTTAACACAAATCTTGTCATACAGCTTTAGATAATCAGATACCTAACATTATTAGGAAAATTAACATTCTGAAAAAAAGTCTAGTAACTGAAGTTGTAATCACAGTATACTGAGCTGTATACTGTATTGTGTAAATATCAAGGTTAACTTCTGTAATATTCATTTTAAAATAATTTGGTTACAATAAGAGAATTTATGAACCTAAAGTAGCATAACTATACGTTTATGCTTCTGATTGAATTCAAAGTCATTTTGTATGATAAAAAGAAGAAATTTCTTTGGCTGTGTACCAGCCTCCCAAAAGATTGAAAGCATTAAAAATTTCATTTATCCCTTGGGGGTTTCACATACTGTTATAACTTTTGTGAAGTTACTGCATCCATTATTAAAAAGTTGAAAGGCATTTTAAGCAAGAGTAGAAATAAAACATAACTTTCAAAACAAATTAGGAGACAGAAAAGGACAGTTATATTAGTTCCAGTTCTGAAGAAACAGATCAGCAGACAATTGTATAAAGTTAGGTGTCTTAAAGTATGCTGTGACAGCTTCCCAATGTTGCCTGTTCCCTTGGCATCTTGAGGTATGCAGCAATCCTTCTCTTAATATAAACACTGGTAGAAAGTGCATTTTAAAATTCTCTATTACTTTAGCCTACCATATATATTTTTTTAGATTTGGGATAGGACATTCAAGACAGTTTTAATATAATTCAAAAAGTATTCCAATGTTGTTAACCACTGTTTTTATAC